CTAGATAAGGCTTCGATTAGACACACAAGCTTGAAGGGAGGGCAGACAGGTGTACTCATAGAGAGGATCTGTCAAATGTACAAAGAATCGGATCCACCATTTTTCTACCACTCTTTTGCGGCTGGATTTATTCGAGTTTATCTAAATCAAGCAAATTCTCAGTGACGCGATACGACAGAGTTTGACTTGGGACCTACATGGTTGGCTCAAGGCATGTCTAGGAAGGTAGTCGCTGAATGGACCCATCACTAATGGCCCTTCTCCGCGCTGTCTACCTTTCGATGGCATCTATGAGTCGAGCAAACCCTTTCTGCTGAATGACTGAGGGTCGTGGATAAGAGCGGGACAGGCCAGACGCATGCCCACCCCCATATCATCTATCTAGGCAGTAGGAAAGTAGTAATGAGTCGTACTTGAAGGGTGAAAGTGGGCTGATTGTCCTCAGCAACTATTGTTGTGATTGTGCGTCATATCATATCATCGGATCTCCTTGATGCCTTCCCCAAACCACACAACGTCCCACTCCACACAGCCCCTGCGAATATCGTACGCCGTCGCAGGAAGCAATGCCAGCAGTGCGAGGTACAGCGTAACGATGTGGTAAGTACCCGTAGTTCCTGGGTGTGAAGGTGACAGCAATATTAATCTCGCTGCGGAAAGGAAGAAATTGGGTTTTGATGGAAGGGTATGATGCCGGGTGGTGGTGTTCTGGCTATAATGATGCCGGAGAGGGGGCTGATGTGGTGGCTGTGGGTGATGACGTTGGTATTGGGGGAAATCGACTTATCCGTGGATCGTTGAAGTTGGATCTGGGGGATGGTTCAAGGGTGGGAGAGTCGGATCACGCGTGTGCCTGTACAGGGGTCCGAACGAGTTGAGCCTGGATAGGTAGTTGCAGCAGAGATCGTATGCTACTTGGTCTGCTGGTGAGGTGTTTGTTGCAAGGTGGATTTTAATGTGTCGAATAGGAAAGTCCTCGGTGAGGCGGCGTTCTGCAAACGGTAGAGACCAATGGCGGTGAAAAGGCATACGGGGCGGAAGATATTTAATAGTTCTTCTAGATACGGTAGGGAGACAATCAGTTTGTGAAGGACACAAGAGGACGCCTCTCGCAGGAGATGGTTGTATATGGAAGTGAGGTGAAAATCAAGAGTGATTTGATCGAATTCGGGGGATTCACCCAGGAAGCGGTCCATGATGCCCCGTGTATCTGACGAAAGTTTTCTGAGCGCCAAGTCAGTTACGCGAGTAATGAATACATGGGGGACAAGCGAACCAACCCTGCGGGTCTTTCCGCTTTGTGCACAAAAACTTCAAAGTTGACGTCCGGGTTGACTTGGCATGCTGCAACGATGAATTCTACGACAGGTCGTTGGTACAGATCCTATGGATTTCGATAGGGCTGCCGGTCGGTGGCCAAATGCAGTGCACGTACTCGAGTATCTATGATGAAGAAAATTATCAAGAAATCATTGAGGGATGCGCCGAGCGTATCGACAGTGATATTTCCGGGGCGGTCTCGTATCTTCAACAGGATGACAGTACTGGGTACTGAGGGACAATGTTCAGCGTTGGGCGCCAGCAGAAGTCAGAGATGGGTACACAATCGATAAAATGTTTCGTAACGCACATGGTGGGCTCCAGATAGAACTTAGTCTGTTTGATGGGGAGATTTTCGAAGAGATCTTGGAATATGAGGTCTTTCCGCTCCTGGGGTACGTTAGGACCGACAAAGGGAGAGAGGTTAGTGGAACATAGAAATGCACCTCCTCGTGCCCAGAAAGAGAAGTTTGGTCCTGCGTATGGTTTCATCTGTCTGCGAGTTGGCTGCGATTGAGTAGCTCTGTCACAGTCGGAGGAGCGCTCATTGCACATCCAAAGATTTACATAGGCGACTGACTTCTGTGAATAGCGCCCACATGGTTGTCACACGACATGCATATTCTTCCCGCGAACATCACTGATGCGAGCACGTCAACCTTAAGAGTTACCCACAGTTGCCAGTGATGAGCACCTGGTGACCTGATACTACGATTAGAAGAACGCTTCCTTTGGTCGTCTTGGTATATCCGATCAATATCCGAACAACGAGGAGCAAGGTGTCCGAAGTTTTGATCTAGAGAACGTGTCGATCATTCACCGGTCATCAACCACGCATGGTGTAGTTTTTAATGAATATCAGGCTGTGAAAATCGATGCATTGGCCGCCACTTGCCATCGCATCAGCTGTACAACGCACCGACTCTTCCGCACCATCCGATCCTACGCCATCATTGATACGCTTATTGGTAGCCTGGGCCGAACAGGCGAGTCATCTGTTTGCTCCGTGTGGACCTCCCTAATGTTTCGCTTTTCTGGCGGCATGGCCAGAATCTAACCTTGTTGACAAATATCGAAGCTGTGATACCTGGGCCAGCAAGATTGTCGAGACGCTTGTTGGATCGTTACATCAAACGTGGGTCTGATGTAGATCAACAAACTCCATGGTTTCACTGATGGAGCCTCGACCGACAACAAGAACTTCATCTCAAAAATGGCATTGGGACACGTTGCGAAAATCAGATTTTGGCCCAGTGGCCTTTAAATATTCGTGACTGCCAGTGCATCTTACGTCTACTTGGTTAGGTCGGTCATTGAAAACAGGATGCTATGATGCTCGTTTCAACCATAGATATATCTAATACGAACGCTAGCGTCGTATCTACCAAGTTTGCCGTTCCCTCACATCCATCCTCGAACAATAGTATGACCCGAGTATCAAATGATCCCAGATGGTGGCCGACCATTAATGTGGATCTCGTCTATAGCTACTTTGCAGGTTTGTGGAGCCAATCAAATGGTAATGGCGATATGTCGATATCTAACCTTGTATGTCGTTTCGCAGTTGCTTCTTCTGCTGGGGTAATATACGATTGGGGTGAGTAATATCATACTAAAGAACCACCGATATCCTGACAGCATTTCCAGCACTGACGTTTGGACAAGAGGTAAGTCGATGCTATTACCGGAGCAGTCATGTTGCTGAGAATAGTATCATAGGTCGAATTGATCTGGGTGAGCAGAGTCCCAAGTCAGAAGAACAACTTACAGATATGATGGATTCGCAGAGGCAACCACGGTCGATGATGACCGCTCTGTATCTTAGTGTGTGTAACTTGCGTTATATTGTGGTCGACAAATTGTGCTGACCTGAAAATATCCTAGGTGCGCTATTTTGGAATTTTATTTGCTGTGTATGTCTGGAAAGTTAAGCATTTCGTGTTGTGCTAATCATCTGTCTCTCGCGCTCAGCATCAACATATTGTGTATGGTTCCACGCTTACACCGTGTTTGTTTCTTCTGATCGGCGGCATACAGTCAATGTTCCGACAATTTCAATGACGGGTGTAGTGAGTATTCTGCACATATGTCTATCATTCCAATTCACTAACTGCGCTTCTATGTAGGGGTGAGTGATCTTTGACTAGCTTGTTAATGCAATATAATGACCGCCACAGCTGTGAGTTTGTATCGAGCGCGTAGTCCTCTGAGACTGATCGCTGCCTGGATTTGTCAGGTCTTCTTGTGTCCATCACACAAAATTGGATAAATGTCGTCGTAACTGTAATACTTGGTGGTGAGCTTCAATATCTTAGTCGTGTCAATTTGACTGAAATATCACGCGAGTCTTCATGATTGCTCGGTTACGTGCCGTGTATCGGGGATCCAGAAAGGTGATGATATTTCTCGTTGTCGCCTTCCTAGCTGTCAACATCGTCGACTGCGTCTTCGCCGTAATAGTAACGAGCCATATGTCAGGGGGTGAGTTCATTCATGTATGAAAGGCCGCTGCGCCAGACTCATTGTCGATTGCCAGAGGAGCTCATTCTTTCTGGCACTTATCAGTGCAATGTCACCTTCAAAGAGCGAGATAGCACAGTTCTGGAGTCCATGACTTGGATACTGACCACAGCATGGGAGGTCGCCGCATTGTGTCTCGCAGTCTGGATTTCTGTAAAACACTTTCGTGAACTGCGACGGCATTCTTCTGGAGGGATTATTGGGGACTGTTTCGTGGTAATAATGAAATCTCATGTTATTTACTTTGCGAGGTGAGCTGACACTGCGATGGTGTTTTGTTTTTCTATTAATGTTATCTTGAAACACTAGCTTTATTGTTGTTTCTTGTCTCGAGCTTGGTTATTTGTCTCCAGCGATCTCAGCGCCGGTATGCCATTTTTTTCTACCTCTATATACTAAAACAGTTCATCGTTTCTATAGGACCCATATTCCCTAGGACCTCCGATTTATGCTGGTGTTGCTAGTATTTTCTCGCTCGTGCAGTTATTTGTGCTGGGACCACGCTTGATGCTTAGCATTCGAGAATATTACGCTCAGGATGACCCTGATGCAGCAACAAACATGAGTCCGATTGCTTTCCAGGAGCGCGACCACGTGCAAACAAGCACTGGTAGTGTGTGACGTGCCGGATCAAAAGATGTGGGGAACTCCGCAGGGAGCGAGAAAATTCGTTTTTATCTTCTTGTCGTGATACTTATTTATTGAAATATTCAGACAATGGCAAACCGTAGAGATGTACCCTCTCGCGTCCAGATTTTTTTCTTTTTGCCACGCTGCGAACTTCCGGTGTACAAGCTTTTCTGTACATGGTCCACATAATTAAATGCACAGCTGAGTTCATTGACCATCGCTTGTGATTGCCATGCATGCACTTCTTTCTGGAAAGTCTAAAATGTTATGTTTGGCATCGGGTAACCGCTATGATAGCTATGTATAGTAGGACTATCTCGTGCCTCGAGACTCGACATTGTTTTCAGTCGGACCGAAAGTCGGACCAATGATGCTGACTAAGACTCAGCACGATATACTTCGAGTTCTCCTTAATTAACGCGTTAACACCCGGACTTCTTTTCCTTGCTTCGTGTTAGTGAGAGTACTGGCTTGTAGGACACACTCCTCTGAAGGGTTCCTATCTATTCCTAGTCGTCGACAGGCACGCGATGAAGTTCGGAAGGAAGATCACGGTGCGTTATTTTTGCGTATGGCAAATTGGGGGAAGCGAAGTAGACAATCTTGCTTTGACAGACTAACCTTTATGATGAGTGGAGACCCTTCTACATCGACTACAACTTGTTGAAGCGTGAACTCAAGGTGACTCCTTCTCCAAACTGCTCCACCCATCCTCATCCGCTTTATCCGTGTAGTCTCGTACCACCTCTCACAGCTGGGACGACAAAGATGAACGTGATTTCACCACCATGTTGAAAAAAGAGCTCGACAAAGTTCATGATTTCCAGAAACAGAAGGTAAAGCGTCAAAACTTAGTTCATTCCTCTGCTTCAGCTGATGTTGTTCAGACCGCTGAGTTATCTCACCGCATAAGGGATGCTGAAAAGGATGTCCAAAAACTCGTCGCTCAAGAATCATCATCTTCTTCTGAGTCGTCCCCCATCCATTGCTCTGACCCAGAATCGCATCAAGCACGTCCTTCCGACTATGGTCCCGATGAGGGTTCCGACGACGACGACGATATTGACGATAACCAATCTGATGCATCACTCGAAGACCTTTTTCACGGCCTTCAAGAAGAAGTTGCCACCCTCGTAGCAGACGTTCATGACTTGGCGCTGTACACTAAGTTGAATATCACTGGTTTTCTCAAAATCCTAAAGGTACATCCATTCGTGCCTCTCGCCTTATGTTAACTCACTCTTCATCTCCATAGAAACATGATGTACGTCCCCTGCATTTCTTCAAGTGTCATCCTTCATTATCGCCGTCAGAAAATAACGAACCTTCCGCTCAAACCTACGTTTATTCGAAACTATCTTGAAGAAAGACCCTTCTATAAATACAATTGGGACGCCTTGATTGTCAAGTTATCCAAACTGTACGATCTGGTCCGCACCCGAGGTCATCCCGTGCAGGGTGATTCGAGCGCGGGCGGGAACCAGAGTGCCTTTGTACGCCAGACGACAAAGTATTGGGTAATCATCGAATTTTCTTCTTCTCAAATCTATGTTTACTAACTAGACAATTCTAGGTACATCCAGATAACCTCGTACCACTGAAACTGGCCATTTTACGACATCTACCTGTTCTTGGTCAGTGATAGTGTGTTTTCAGTACATTTGTCGATTTACCTCTCCTTGTAGTGTTCAATGCCGAGAAGGAATTCGAACAGAAGGATGCCGGTACGTTTTTTTGATTTTGAAATAACAGAAGATATGACGTCAACGCTTGTTGTAGCCATTACTTCAATATACTTCGACAATGAAGATCTTGAACTTTACCTCGGTCGACTAGAGAAGACAGAGGGTGCCGAAGCTATTCGTCTCCGGTGGTACGGCGACGTAGACGTAAAAACCGTCAGTACGCCCGACTTAGTTTGTAGGGGTCACACTCAATGTCGTCCTTCAGATTTTCGTAGAGCGCAAGACGCACAGAGAAGACTGGACAGGTGAAAAGTCCGTCAAGGCCCGTTTTCCGATCAAAGAACATCTCGTGAATGCTTTTCTGCGAGGAGAATACACCATGGACGCGGAGCTCCAGGCGCTAGTTGACAAAGGCAAGAAGACACAAGCCGAAGTCGATTCAATGATTCAGCTTGCAAGCGAGGTTCAGTATCGTATTCTTACGAAGCAGTTCCACCCGGGTATGTAAGCATACCCATCGTCTGACTTCTTCGCTCATAAATATACTAGTTATGAGGACGTTTTACAACCGAACTGCATTCCAGCTCCCAGGCGATCCCCGTGTACGAATATCGCTTGATACGGAACTCACCATGGTTCGTGAAGACAACTGGGATGGACAGGCGCGTACTGGCGATAACTGGCGGCGAACCGACATTGGTATCGACCATCCCTTCAATCAGGTGCCAGCGGAGGATAAGGAGCTTTTCAAGTGCGTCTCTATTTTTGAGCTGATTCTATCGCACGTTCACGCCCTTTGAAGGTATGGCGTTTTGGAAGTCAAACTTCAGACTCAGTTCGGACAAGAGCCTCCCAAGTGGGTTACGGATCTCGTCCAGTCACATCTTGTCGAAGCTGTTCCCAAGTTCAGGTATGATTCTCACCCACGAGTTGGTTCCACCTCACTCACGGATTGCCGTTAGCAAATTTATCCATGGCTGCGCCACCCTTCTGCCCAATCGTGTAGATCTCGTGCCATTCTGGTTGCCCCAAAGTAAGTGGGCGAACCTACTTCCAGTGTCATGCTTACCTAATATTATCCACAGTGGACACCGACATCCTCAAACCCAATATGGGATACCTCACAGTCGAGCGCCCCACAAAGAACACCCCCGATCTGCAGTCCGGTCTCCTCTCGCCTCTCTCGCCCGATTCGCCCGTACCTTCTTATGTTGAGCCTGTCTCGGAGGGTGAAGACGATGAAGAGATGGACTTGGCGCCTGCTAGAGATGAGGACCGGCGCACGGGGCTGCCCCACGAGGACGTTGCGGCTGCTATCGCATTCCGTGAGAAGTCTCTCAAGGAACGCGACCGTACATCTCAGTTCAACGGGAGTAGCAGCACTCCTGAAGAGGCAGTGTGATGAGCGCACGCCATTGTTGAAGCTGCCACGACCGCCGAGGACTGTGTCGATCGACCCGCTTGCGCCGTCTTCTGCGTTTGATGAGAATCTGCGCGAGCGTTTACAGGCGAATAAAAATGCGCCGCCACGTGCGCAGCATGGTGAGGTGCAGGAGGCTGCAGGCCTGGATGAGGAAAACCTGCGGGAGGAAGACCGTTTATTAGTGAGAGACTGGAGTGCGCCGTCTGGCAAGCGGATCGCAGTGCCTGTCCGTATCGAGCCCAAGGTGTATTTTGCAAACGAGCGCACGTTCTTGGTATGACTTTTTCCGTTGAAGGTCGAGTTTGTCTACTGATCTTTATCATACCAGAAATGGCTGAGCTTTGCGGTGCTCATCGGCTCTATCGCTACGATGTTACTCAACTTCGTACCTGCGGATGATCCGCGGGGCCTGATCAGTGCTGCGCTATTCACACTCACTGCACTGCTTGCGATCGCCTACTCAGCTGTCATATTCGTGTACCGAGCGCTTTGTCTGCGTGCGCGATCGGCGGAAGGACTTTATTATGACAAGTACGGCCCGACTATTCTTTGCTTTGTGTTGTTGGCTGCGCTGGGGACTAACATTGGCTTGAGGGTGGCGGATATGTGATGACATGGGGATGCGTTGTATTTTCGAGCCTTGGACACTGTTATATAGCCGGTGTGAAACCTCTTTACTTAAGGACTGCCTACGAGAGATTAGCCAATTATTGCAACTTGTTCTTGTTATTTTGGGGTTTCTAGTGTATGCTGACTGATGTGAATTCGACCGAATGACGGTGATTCCATGTGATTCCATGCGACTCCTGAGGCTTTTAATGGAGGCACATGGTGCTCGTCCAATAATGTATATGCGCGATTTGATGGATGGTAGAACTGAGGAGATGGCTTGATCCGGAAGGCAAAGTGACTTGGTTTGGGCTCAACAAGACCATACACAAGAAATCTATATAAGAGCCTGAGGGCAGCGACGAACTCCTAAACCCAAAGATCATCATCATCTTATCACAATATTCCTGAGTGTTGCTTCTTGCACCGTACTTCGTTATCTTATCTCGATCAGGTCACTGAAGTCCCTGTTTCCAACAACAACTGTGGCTCGTCGAGCTGCTCATGTGGCACCTCGTAAGTCGCACTCTTCGTACAGCGTCTAGGTCTTATTCACGACTTCGTGTACAGGTGCCAATGCAAGCCCGGAGAGTGCAAGTGTTAATTGAACGTTTGAATCTCGGGCAATCGCAACTCTGTCCGCCTTGTCTTGTATTATTCCAGTCTCGGCGTATGACTATAGGACTTTTGTATGAATTATCACCGAGCAGAGGCGCATAATATGAACACTTGTTGAATTGTTGTGGTGCGAAGATCAGCGCTTCGGCGAGGAGCTTGTCGTCAGTGGTGAAGTCGAGTTTGATTTGGGTGGATCCTTGTTTGTTGTTGTTGGTATTTAGGCACCCACGACCTTCCCAGGCTTGTGCGCTTCATTTGACTATGTGAAATATATCTTGTAAGTCTTAGACTATCGTTCCTGTTTTTATGTTTATTGGTGTGAGCACATGACATACTGCCAATTAGCTTGAGCGAGGATTGTGACATCCATTCCAAACGCAAGCGCCGTTGTCCCACCATGCAGATGTGTCTCATCCGAGAATTCCATCGAATAGGGCCTTGTAATGCCTGGTGGACGAAGGACACCAGGAGCATCCAGTGATCTCAGTAGTAGGAAGTTTGTGGTTGAATGATGGTGTTGTCGCGGAAAGCGCTAGCGAGGATAGCAAAGTCAGCCAAGGTGATAGTGGGGCCCCTTCCATGGGTGCACGAAGAGGTACGATTCTTGCTGTTATATGACGAGTCATCCTTTGCGTTCCAGGCATTCCCTCTCCTCGCTTCCTCGAGCCCAATCACCAAACATGCTGCTCAAATATTCGACCATGCTCATGCACGAGTGTTGGATGAGAGTCAACCAATCTCTCACCGAGGTCTACCAACTAATCCCACCTGACAACCAGCCAGCCATAATCACTACTCCGTCTATCCACAATCCTACACAGCAAACGGTACAAGTTATTTAGTCCCCACCTTCCATCCTGACAGCATGCGACATACATCAATATTAATTGCACGATGGATTTGGCGTAGCGTGCGTTTACTACTGGATGGCACTGCCCTTACTGTGATATTGTTCTTACTCCTGTGATAGCGCAGCTCAGGATCAAGTTGACTGTTCGTGACTTCATTTTCTGAGTTTTCTGATGGTATTGCCAACAGTTGAAACTAAGCTGACCGGCGCTCATCGAGAACATAATAATCAATCTTTAAGGAAGCCTTCAAATTATGCCATGAAAGATTGATTATCAAGGACGGCGCCCACATTGAAGATGCACGGGTCTTCGTCTCTCTCATTTCTGTTTGTAGTCAATATTCATGGATTGTGAATCAGGCTGTGACGATTAATCGATGCATCTTATCAACTGCATGCTGTAGTACCGATATGTCTTGTATCAGATTCTGCACTTACCATTTATTGGCATCCTTCTCATGATGATATGATAGGCTGATGGCCGAGGTGATCGGAGAAGGCGTGCATATGCTTACATTGCTTAGGACACGGATTATTTGTTGAATGGGCTATACAGGTGAGTGATCTGTCTACTTCTCCCTTGTTTCATATATCCGATGTTTTTGCCATGTTGATATAAGCTCCCCTTGTTGGATAATCTCGGAGCTTCTGTTATGCTCGGGGAGACTGCTGGTGGCAGTGCTCATCGGGAATCATCGAAACAGCAAGCCTTTTCGAAGGGTCACATCACGCCTAGGCCTTTACGGTTAGACCCAAGTTTGCATCAGCTTTCATTTATGGGTGCACATTGGCAGTGTACGGCACGTGTTTAACTACTCTCTCAACTCGATCTTTTCTGATGATGTGCCAACAGAACATTACCGCCTTCGGTTCTTCTTATACAATCAAGTTTACTGTACGCCTCATGACATGCAACTCGGTTGTCTCTGGCTGTGCAAATTGATACCCGAGTTTCCTCTCGTGCAAATGTTTCACGACCAATTTTGGTGATCTAAGCACTGGATGGTAATATATATGCCATCGCCACACGTCCGACAACTTGAAGTTCGCCTCTTGCCTACACCCTATCAAGATGGCATTCATTCGTACGTATTTTATCTTACATACACAATCACTCCTTTCTACACGTGTTCGACGCATGTTCCTCTTTGACTCTCCGTCTCAATTAGCGTATTAATTCTTCCTTCCGTCAAACGATTTCCCTCAGTCTTTGATCCCAGACTGAGTCCTTTCCTCGTTCCTAGTTCCTAGTCCGAGTCTCGTCGTCTTCTGACACACCCATTCTCTAACAATATCATGACCATAGCCTCAAACGGTCCCTATTGGCGGCCAATCATCAATGAACATCGTTTTTCTAGCTATTTTATAGGTTCGTGGAGAACAGTCGGATGTTCAAGCTGATGTCTCAATCTAACCTTGGCTGCGGTTTTGCAGTTGCCGCCATGGTTGCAGTAATGTATGATTGGGGTGAGCATGATAATATCAAAGAACTGCTGATATCTTATAAGTATTTTCAGCACTTACGTTCGGACAAGAGGTATGTTGACGTCGTGACCGGAGCAACCATGTCGCTGATAATGGTTCTACAGGTCGAACTGATCTGGGTGAGTAGAGTCTCATGTCAGAGGAACACACATGAAAATACACCTAATTCCAGGGGCGCCATTGGTCCCTAATGACAGTTCTGTACCTCAGTGTACGTAGCTTATTTATCGCGGTTGCCATGTCGTGCTGACTTGAAAGTATCCTAGGTGCGCTATCTCGGTATCTTATATGTTGCGTATGTTCGGAAGGCTAAACAATTGGTGTTGTGCTAATCGTCTATCTCTTATAATCAGCCTGAACATGCTGTGTATGTCCTCTTAGTGCATTTGCTATCTTCGCTTCTTCTGACCAATAGAATACAGACAGTGTTCTGAACATCTCGCTACCGGATAGAGTGAGTCTCCTGCACAGATATCCACCATTCCCCCAACTAACTTTGGTGCCCTGTAGGGGTGAGTACGATTCTTTACTAACTTCTTGGTTCCCTAATGACTGCCACACTATGCTTCCACAGATGTGAGTCTGTTTGGAGTGTGCTAGCCAGGGCTTGTCACTGACTGGATTTTTCAGGCTTTATTATATACGCAGTATCGAATTGGACAAGTGTTGTAGCATTTGCAATGCTGTGGGGTGAGCTTGGCACTTGCGAGAACTCAGTGGTATTCACTTGACTGAAACATGCTGCAAGTCATCATCATTACTCGGTTGCATGCCATGTATCAACTATCCAGAAAGACCCTGATATTTCTCATTGTCACCTTCCTGTCTGTCAACATTTTCCGCGGAGTGGTCGTCATATTGATGATGATGTATACTTCAGGGGGTACGCTTAGTTGTGGATGACGAAAAATACGCATCTCATTGATGAATACCAGAGGAACTCATTCTCTCCGGCACCCATATGTGCTCATCCCTCTATGTGGAAGAGATCGTACTTCTGTCTTCCATGACTTGGATACTCGCCTTTGTGTGGGAGGTCCTCGCGCTGTGTCACACAGTCTGGGCAGCAGTAAAACACTTCCGTGAACTGCGACAACATTCGGCAGGAAGGATTGTCGAGGACTATTTCACGATGTTGATCAAAACTCACATGCTTTACTTTGCGAGGTGAGCTCATATTGTGGTTGTTGTTTCCTTTTTTCCACTGAAGGGTCGGACGTGGTAGCATGGTTGCTGCTTCTTCCCTCCAGCTCATTATTGATTTCTCTACAATATTCCCAAAGGTATGTCAATCTTTCACTTACCTCTCCACGCGACCACAGTTCATCATTTCTACAGTACTCACTTCGCCAGAACAGACAGATTGATTCGGGGCTTCTTCAGATTTTTAAGGTCATGGAGATGTTTCTCCTAGGACCCCGCCTGATCCTTAGCATCCGAGAATATCACGTTAAGCTCGTGGCTGATTCCAACGCAGCAACCGGCATGACCTCAATCGCTTTCAAAGAGCGTATGCATGCATCGACTAGTAGTGGAGTCTAATGCTCGGTTAGTGCTCTGCAAGGAGCAGGATAATTTGCTTTATTTATTCCCGCTTTTGTGATAGTATGCAAGCTTCTTCGACTGTATTGGAATCGACTTGTTGTTTGATATACAGGCTGATACTGCTTCAAGATCTCTACAGCGGTCATTGGCCTCTTCACTCGCAAGCCGTACACACACCTTCTCTGGATGCGTGAAGTCGCAGTGACGCCTGTATGAGCAGCTTTGTCCTGAGTTTATTGTTTCAGGACAGGCCTGCCGTTGGCACCTCAAGTATTTGCTCTCCTCACCTCCTCACCTATAACTCCCAGCAGATGGGACTCCATGGATTGCGTGTGCACGACAGCTCTCAATTAGTATCTAGTGTAACATCAACATTGAGTCGCATGTAGCACCAACGATTCATCCTGCCAGTACACCTGCCGGACATCCATCTCCATAATCTACTTCATCGATCTTCGCCAACTCACCTTCACACGCACACTATCATGATTCTTGCCATTCTCAGCGCTCCATGCTGTGATTCACAAGTAAGATGCATAGCCTAACGCCTTTAATTGCACAATGCATAGCACGGAACTATCTGAGCCCTGATCCGTTGCCTCGGGGCTTGCAGTGTGTCACAATCTGCATATGATATTCAGCTCGCCAGTAGACGCCTACTGGGCTATACGCCACGCTATGGCTGAACTTGCTAATAAGTTAGCTTTTTTCGACTTCTTCTCGAGCCTGAATGTGACATTGAGGACCTAGCCCCGTCAATAAACCTAGGACCTTTGTCAAGTTTCAACCTTACCGGCGTAAAGTTGGAACCTATACATATCCGCACCAAGCCGTGGTTGTACTTACATAAACAATTCATTTACGTAGCTTAAAACGCGCCATGCATGCTCTCGGTGGTGGTTGGTCACTCCAATATTTTTCGTTACATCTAATGTATAACTTCCCACTCATATCCAATACTGAAGACTCGTTTGTCAAGAGAGTAGACTACGAGATGCAACCCAAAGCAGGATTCCTGTCTCTTGCTGACGAACTACGGTTTTACATTCTCAGCTTTCTTTCTTACCAAGATATTCTTCGTTGCACATCCGTGAGTCACAATCACATTGATATGTCATTGTTATCTTAGACAGACTTTTATACCGACGATCCTCTTGCTCTGGCAGGTATGTAAGGCCCTTCACCAGACGTACATGTCCTCCTCCAGGCTTCAGTACACCGTTGAACTTAGTGGCCAACACTTACTTCTTGTACCCAACACAGGCGATCTCACACCTGTTTCCCAGCGCCTACAACTCTTGAGGGACAGAGCCCATGCATGGTTCAAGTTTGATCTCCACTCTTTCAAAACGATTTCCATACCAAACATACGGTCCGGTCACGAAACATTTTTCAATGATGGGCATTTCTACTTCTGGGACAATATGGAAAACTCGGCCACGATCATTCCAGTACTACCAAAGCCCTCGCAACAAATAATCAAGCGCAAGTGGTCCCCAGAAGCGTTATGTCTAGTTCCCCACTCATTCAACCGCAAGGTATTCATAGACCCAGGACAAAACCTGATTGTCATGCTGTATTCTCCTGATTACGACTTTGAGACGTTCTACATTGACCTTAGAGCGCTGGATAGTGGTGGTATTCACCCCCAGGCTGCTGGACGGGAGCTGTTTCTGTCAGATCTGCCCGAAGATGATGACGACCTTATTGAAACAACGGGAACGAGCCTTAAAGGTTGTGGGAAGCACTTCGCGTTGCGGCGTGAATGTGTGACCTCAGTTGAAGATGAGGATGGCGAAGGAATTTCCCGCGAGCATATGTTGCATCTACAGATTTGGGATTGGCAACACTCAACAACATCTAGTGTGAGTTGATCAAAATTGTTCAATCGTTGAAAGACTTGATAGTTGATTCTCTGTTTAGAGTGTCCTCAGCGACGTAATACGTTACCCAGCCACGCGCTCAAGCGATTTTTGTTTTCTTGAAAACAATAGGTTGCTAGTTGTCATTGAGGATTTGAGGCTCTATTCGATCGAGGATATGTCACAGGCGCCGCAATTACTGGCGAGCTTCCTGTCGCCCCTCTTACTGTCAAATATACAGTGCCTCTTTCCGATGGATGATATTGAACATGGTGCACAGCTGCAGATGCAAGACCGACAAATGATCACCCCAGACCCTACAAATCAACTATTATGCCTTATCGCGTCTGATCTGGTCTTCGTCATTTCCACAAGGATCTTCTTCGACCTCGATGGAATAGCAGCTGCAACGCCAATACCATGGAGTCATTGGGGTCCTTCAAACACCCGTGTTCTTGAGCACCCGGATCCACTTCGATTCAAAATTCACGTTCGCGGGAATCGAGTTTTGCAGTCATTCGAAGTCGATGCTGGTTCCATCCAGTATAAATTACGTATGATGGACTTCAGCCCGCGCTAGCTGTCACGAACAGGCGGGGTCTAGGACGAGTGGTGAAAGAGCCATCGACGATAGACATTGCTGGATCCTTTGGAGCTCAGGGGTTAGCTTGACAACGTCTCTGCCTTACGTCGAGGTCGTATCGGATAGAAGATTCGATAAGTTGCAGAACGTATGGCTTGAGAGGGATAGGATATATTTGCTCAATACAATTTGGGAATACACTGTCATACGCGGTTCTGTTCGGGATCTTACAGGACTGTCGAGGGGGCTTGAGGCCATTGACTTGTAGAGTAGAATCTATTATCAGCTAGTCGATTTAGCTAGTTAGCTCTGATGGCGGGTCGATGACTTGGTGAATGCTTAGACTATTATCAAGAGTCGAGGCCTTCTTAACAAACTTTGTTGGAGTCATACCATGGAAGTGATCTGGGTGATTGAAACATTCAACGTTGTGGAGATGCAAACTCAACATAGCGACGAAGACTTTAGTGTTAGTGACAGTTTGAGTAGAAAAGATGATTAATCTACGAGACACAAATGATGAGGAACGAAAATTAGACGACTCGTGTTACGAAAGCGCGAGAAGTTTGTGCTTTGGGGATCGCGAGCAGTGCTTCGGAACGTGTTTTGGAGATGGGGGCGGATAGACAAAAGCGCCAACAAACGGGGATACGACGAAAAGAAACACAGCTCACGAATCTTGGGATCCCAAGTCTTTTGAGGGAGTGCACGAACTAAAATTCTCCAAGAGAGAAGTGATACAAAATGGGGGATCGCAGGGGGACGCGGTATGTATAAGTTACCTAAAGAAATTAACGTGGACGAGTGACTAGAGCTCACCTGCTCTACAAGAGCGCCGGCAGAGAGGAACATAAATATTGTGCAGATTGCTGAAAATGAGCCGAGATACTTGAGGATCCTTGAGGGGGCCATCAGTGAACCGGTGAAGAAAGTAGAAGGCCATATAACACAATATGTGGTGCACGATCGCACACATCGCCCACGATTGAGCGAGATGGGCTGAGGGAAGTCGTCGCACTGAGTTTGAATTTGTGTCTCGCATCGGGTTGTCGTTTGGCCAACGATCCTTCAAGATCTCTACGATGGTCATTGGCCTCTTCGCTCGCAAGCCGTACACACGCTCACATCGACTTCCCAGCAACACCCAGGCCGACTCCATTGGTAAATTCCTGCCAAGCGTGAAGTAACAGACCCAATCGCCTTGTATGACCCATCCCACCTCAGATACTGTACAGATCATAGAACACCTCGGCCTTTTGTCCTTTGGGTCTAGAGTCCTTTGCCTCAGTCCCGCCTGCAAGTTACATCCAGACATTATTCCGAGTGGCAGGCAAGTTGTGGTCAGTCCTTGCTCGAGCCTCGGGGCATCGCTTCGTACCACAACGTACCCTCCAAATCTCACCAGTCCGCCATGCACGCCTCCAGAATCAGAACGGCAAGGTACTCTGGCTGCCCTCGCACTCAGGGTTCGAGCATGGCTCGACTTTCTCTTTCGTCCAACTATGACAAGTCTGAGTACTGGCTAGCAACTTTCTAGTGCATCTACGGTGCCCAGTCGTGGTATGTGCATCAATCAGAATATATTACTCCACGAAACACGGCGAGTATAACTCACGAGATATCATGTCATACACATCCGTTGATATGAGCCATAGCGGGTGGTGATACCGCAGCAGTGGTTAATATTCCTGAATGCAGGATATTCCATAGAAATGAAGCGATGTAAGATAATATCCCACCTGATCCAATATACACAAGTCCGTGTCTACATCTATCCAACATCAACATCGTCATCAGCCAACCAACCAGACTCACACACATCTAACTGCTCGGGGTATCAACCGACAGTCCATCATCGCACCCAGCCTTCTCATCGCTTTTTGGGTCCACTTGCTCCCACTCCTTCAACGCATTCTCAAGGCCCTCCCACACCGCCTGACCAAGATGAACGCCCCCCAACTCCCCATCATCCGGCACCTGTGCATCGGCAGTGTCAGCCATTGCAGGGCTCGGTATCCGCAAGTTAACAACAGCACACTCGCGGTAAAGCGCGCCCGCTTTCAGAACTTCTTCTGGAGCATCTGTGCCTTGGCGAGCATTGCTCTTAAAAGGCGTTGGGAGAAAAAGGGCGTGCAGCACAGATTGCATAGCAGATGTCGTGGATTTTGTGAGAAGACGGAGGAAGGGCTGGAGGAGTATGTGCCTGAAGAATCGTCAGTATTTAAGTATTCAAATCAAACGAAGAATCTGACAGAACAATGCCGAACATGGATTGATTCCGTCCCCGAACTGCATTTAATAGCGGTGCGATGGTATCTGATCTAGAGAGCCCGGGACACACGGATACAGCGACGATATTGGACTTTTGCACCTTGTCGCTGACGACGTGGATGGTGGAGTCGTCTGTCTTTGGTATTTGTCCGCCTGATGGCAGTGCATCGAGGACGCGCTGGAGGTGGCGAGTGAAAATAATCATTTGAAGGGAACGCCAGCCCTCTTGGTGGAAAAGTGAAGATGTTGGAGGTGGCGTGGAGGTTGGGGAATAAGAGGGTGCGGCTGCGGCGTAGAAAGGGTTGACAACGTTAATGATGCGTATATCGCGTTCGGTGGGTGCGACGAGGAGGGCAGGGAGGAGAAGGGTGAGAATTAAGAACGATGCTAATGAAGCGTTTTGTCTCTCCTGGGTTAGTACAGCAGGATCCTGGCGACCGATCATAGAGCCTAGCTGTTGATACTCATGTGCGAATATGATAGCATCCAGTCTAGTCTCCTTCGCTGTGAGGAAGCGGGAGCAGAAGGAACGGACAGAAGACGCAGATGTCAGATCACATTCGTCTGCAAATATCTGGTCGTTCTTGGTGTTCGATCGTAAGAGGTTGATGAGAATATCTACTTCAGGATCTTGTACTGGCTTAGGCGAGAGAGCAATGATATGTGCGCCTCGCTGAGCAAGGTTCTGGATGAGCGTTAGGCCTAGCGGAGTGAACCCTCCCTGATGAAGTGAGTGATGCGGATGCACGTGGGAGGGTAGCATACGTACTGTGAGGAGGACTACCCTAGCGTGCATGTCTCGTTCACGGTTCGTCGTGCGCCCTTGTGAGAATGCGCGAACCACTATAATGGCAAGGATAGAAATGAACGCGTGCACATAGTATTTGGATGGGAGCACGGCATTGACTGCCGCTGCAAGGACTTTGAGCACCATTGCGAAGTTTCGCGAGACCTATCAGTTATGCAAAGTTGCAAACAGGGCTGTCATTCGCGCTGAGGAGGTTCAAGATGCTTTGATGGTGTGCTTTAAGGGTATAGTTCTAGGGTATACCGTGGATTGATCACGTTGAGCGGCTCAGTTGTACTTTCGTTGCAGCAGATTTGCGGAGTCTCAAAAAGCCAGTTCCTCCAGCGTCAAACTTCGCAGACATCAAGACCCCCATGCTCGTTCTGACTGCTCCTACATTCAAAAGCTCACACCTCTGGAGTGGAAGTGACGATACTGCTATGCCGAGCCTGCATTGGAGAGGATAAAGTGGGCCACGGAAATGCTCAATATACACCATCCAATAACTACGATTTGCATCTAAGGAATCCGGGCCTGTGTGTGTTGAAGACGTAGTAACTGTATCATGAACGCCCTCTCAGCAGCTTCGTGAGTTGCAGTCTGCTTCTTTTAGTCTTATATGCAAAGATTCACATTATTACACACTTATTCACGCGAGTTCAATGGAACTCAATCGCAGCACATCATGCGCTCCATCCCACTTCAGATGCTACTATATAGATCATACACCTCGCCCTTTTGTCCTTTCCTCATCTCGCCTGTAAATTACATCCCAACGCACATCCGCCACCGCCTTCGTTGTCACGCCTCCTTCTGTGACCCGATATGTCTTGCTGCATCCCTACCACGACGGTCAACTGGTCGTACATGATAAACTGGCGTGTGCACCACGAGTGATGACGAGTTGACCTGCGATATCGTGTGAGAAATACGCGATATAACAGCTCAACTCACCAGCACCAGAAGTTAGAACGGCCACTCAGATCTCAGGTACGCGCATGGAGATGTCTTGAAGCCGTACAAAACCGTCGTGGCACTTGCATATTCGACACCAGCGAACGCATGGACAGCAATTTTTAACATTGTTATATGGAGATTCGTTTCACCACCTCAACCAATCTCGAGTAAGCACCCATTCAATCGTGTCCTACTTCCCCCACAAACCCACGAAGAGCCTTATGTTCCGTATGATCACCCACGGCATTGAAACCAATTGGTGTCTACTCACCAGCTTCAGAAACACGACAATCACTTTTCGACTCGCACCCTTTCACTGATCTCTTTGCTACTGCAACGCCGTCGTCATCTATGGGTCAGATCAGTGTATGTACGGCGTGCTCCGTGTATCCTCTATCATTCTGAGACGTGTCAATGTAGTTCTCGCCTCCCCTACAAGGCATATAGCCTCCTCATAGGAAAAGGTTGGGATATAGTTGTCCTAGTGGGTGCGCACTCATGTCGATCCTTTTCTTGCCTCCGAATCTTATGGTACTGACCAACGTGTATCCCCTGCAGAGCAAGCTTACAATTTCATGCATGAATATGTATCCGATGCCAGTCTGTTTTTGACATTTCCATCGTGATCGCGAAGCAGGATCGACGAGTCTCGCTACCAGCATCAAACAAAATATTGGGGAACACCACGCTGCGAAATTTAAGAAAGACGGGTGTTCATTGGATTAGCGTGAGCTCGGGCGAATATACGAAGATACAACCATTAACATACACCACATGGTCACAGTCAATGGCATAATGTATTGGAAGAGCGAAACTTAAATGCTCAGTGAATGTCAGTGAACCCACTTCAGACGTAGAATTGTGCAACCATGTAGGGGTTTGGGTAAAAAGAATCAAACGACAATGGACATGAACAATGCGCTAAGTGCAACCGTGGGCACCACCATGGTTGCTATTTGCTGCACCATCCTGGAGGGGTGTGTCAACGCATTCCAAGCGCCATGGAGGAGGCATCCTCAATCTCCCATGTGACCAACACGAATAATAGCAGAGGAACGCTTTGCACCAATGTACATCTGGGAGCGAATCAATATCAGATGTGTCGTTTTCCTACGGCACAGTAGCCTGTTGGCTAGACGGACATCAAGTATTGTCTACTTTCTTGTATTCCGGTAGTTTGGCAGCAGCAAGTCGCTGTAGGGCACAGAGAAGTAAGAAAATCAGATTACGGTGAACTTCCGCCCGGGTGCGACTTCAACGACTTGTGGCCTGAGGCTGTGTCTTGGCGCAAGGAAAGAAAGATGTTGCCGTAGGAACTGCGTGACTCCGTTCGAGGGGGGAGGTGGAGAACTTATTTCGAACTGAATATGCACTTAATTATGTATTATGAGTTTAATAAAATGGAGACTGACATGATCAAACCGAGGGCCGGCCTGCACCGAGAGAGAGGGTGGTAGGGGCAATGTAGCAGGGACCTGGAGTGCCACCATCGAGTCAACTGCAAAAGAAACAAGAGAAAAATATATATGCATCTAAGGGATCGTGAGGTTGATCCTTCTGACCAGGCTGAAATGCATTTGTGCGAGGGAAGAAGCGAAGACGTTTGCTGAGGCGAAGGCAAAAGGGTTGTTGTGGGTCTATTGTAGGCGGAGGTCTTTGGGTTATAGGTATGGTGGGTATCGGTGGTCTGCGGTGCCCGGCAGGAGGACGACGAGTTGCATGAGACTGCAATGATAGCGATGGATGAATTGTATAATGAGCAAAAGAACGAGAGCGCACATGGAGCAGATCGTCTAGTAGGGTTGACTTTTTGCATGTAGTACTGGCCTGTAAGGGAATGCATACACTAGCCTTAGCAATGACGCCGGGTGGAGTGCCGCAGATACAAATCTTGTGATCATCTTTGATGTTTATCGTGTACACTAGTTGGCATGAGTTGGGTGAGAGGGTAGGTCCAAGAACATTAATATTCCGAGTGTTGAAGGAAGCGAGGAGCTGGCGAGACTCAAAAGCCCAGAACTTGATGTGTTGTCCCGGAAAGCGCTAGCGAGGAGAGCACTATCGAATGAAAGTGCTAGACCAGTGGTAGCATTGGTGTACCCTTCAAAGGGAGGTCCGACAGTCTCCAGCGTTGATGCGTCAAACTCGCAGATTGTGCTGGCGTCGTTGTATCCGTGAAGGCTACGATGGTTTTGTTGTTGTTTGTCCAGAACACTGCTCCTCTCCAGGCTCACATCCAATATGAAAATAGCTGTAACGTTTTAAAGGCTATTCAATACCACGCAGTGACAGCTTTTGCATTCCAGGATGTTGCGGTGCATGTAGGAATTTAGCTGGCTCACCATGTGACCCCATTACCGGCTATTGTACACACGGTTCACATTCACACGAACATCATCCCTACACAACCAATGAAACATCGACATTGTACAAGCATGACTTAATTCGATTTGAAGCACTGCGGTACATAGCAAGTTGCACAAGTCACATTCCATCGTGAATCAGGATGTGTGTATCGCTGTGAAAATCGATGTGAGTTGGTGCGTATCGTTTCAGTACTTACGCCAACCTTTTTGGCACCTTTATGATATGATGACTCGATGATTGATGGCCTCAGCACAAGGACTGTAACTGGGCATTGTGTGGTGTGCTTGCTAGGGGATGGCCTGATTAGGTGGGACCGGTGAGTTATCTGTTTGCCAGAGCTTCGTCTGGACCTCACCTATATTTCAGGCCTCACCTTTCTAGCGTTGTGCGGATAAAATATGGCCTTGCAGAGCGACGTTCAAGTCGGGAGAGTTTTTGCGCTTCCTGGGGCAGTAGGAGTCATTGAGACGGCAGACTTTTTTGACGGTAGCATCACACAAGCTTGTGTTAGGTGCATGGTCTACTTAATTTTACTGATCAGTGATATTATAGAACTCCTGAACTGGGAAAGCATCCATGTGGTGAATGGAAGTGAGTCGCCAAATTGAGAAGAGTCCTTCGATCTTTCGAACATCCTCCATGTGACTGTTTTACAGCTTCACGACCAACATCCACATTGTTTCAATCAGAGGACCCTGAGTCGAGCATCCCTTTCTACCTGACTTTATGCGCAAATGCTTACTTTTGTCAATCATATGATTCTCGTTTCGTCCATATAATAAGCTCTGGATTTTGGTACTCATATCTAGCATGAACATCATCGTCCTGTGTCCCTCGAGCTTGCTTTTCATTCTCACCCATTATCTAACAACATGACCGTAGTCTCAAATGATCCTGGTTGGTGGCCGGTCATCAATGGAGCTCGTATTTTCAGCTATTTCATAGGTTCGTGGAAAATTGGTCAGACGGTGACAGTGTGTTTCTATCTAATGTTGAACGTGGCTTTACAGTTGCCGCCTGTGTTGGTGGAATTTATGATTGGGGTGAGCAGGATAGCATTCAAGAATTACTGATAGTCTTACAGTGTATCTAGCACTCACATTTGGACAAGAGGTAAGATGATGCTATTACCGGAGCGGTCATCCAACTCAGAATGATACCTATAGATTGAACTGGTCTGGGTGAGCAGAGTCATATCATAAGAGCAACATGAAAATACAACGAACTTGCGGCAGAGGCAACGCTGGTCGTTCATGACCATTCTGTATTTGGGCGTGCGTACCTTGTATTATAAGTATGACTGGCAGGTCGTGCTGACTTGCCAATATCCTAGGCGCGCTATCTGGGAATACTATATGCCGTGTATGTTTGGAATGCTAAGCAATTGGCACTACACTAATCAACCGTGTCCCACAATCAGCTTCCAGATTTTGCGTATGTCTCCTCACATGATCTGTGTTTGTTTCTTCTAAGTGACCAACAACATACAGTGGCTGTTCCGACAGTTCCGCTGACTGATTTAGTGAGTATTCTACACCGATGCCTATTACCCGTCATTCCTGTCCGATTAATTGCACTTCCCATTGTAGAGGTGAGTGAGATTCTCAACCAGCTAATACGATATAATGATTGTCACAGCTGTGAGTTTCTCGCCAGTGTGTGATCCTCTGAGGCTAATTCCCACCTGAATTATCAGGCTACGTTATATTCGTTGCATCAGATTGGGTGGGTTCCATCGTGAATGCAATACTGAACGGTGAGCTATGCAGTTGTAATGAGTCAGTGATGTTGACTTAACAAAAACATCGCACTAGTCATTATGCTCACTCGATTATATGCCATGTATCAAAGATCTAACAAAGTGCTGATACTTCTTGTTGTAATCTTGCTGACCGTCACTGTCAGCGATGGAGTGCTCAATGTAATGGCAACGAGGAATACTTCAGCAGGTACGCTTGATTGTGGATGAATGACTTGCATGTACCAGGCATCTATTAACGAATACCAGAGGAGTTCATTCTCTCTGGCACCTATCAATGTGGTGTCACTTTCGACAGAGATAGCAAAATTATGAATTCTATGACTTGGATAACCGGAATTATATGGGAGGTCCTCGCACTGTGTCTCGCAGTCTGGATTGCAGTAAAGCACTTCCGTGAACTGCGACGACAATCGGCAGGAGGAATTATTGGGGACTGTTTTACAGTGTTAATGAGCACTCACCTGGTTTACTTTCTGAGGTGAGCTCATAATATTATTGCGGTTCTCTTTTCCACTGAACTTCTGCACTTGCTAGCTTTGTTGCTGTGTCTTGCTTCCAGATTGCCGGGTTTTTGTCTCCAACATTAACGGTACGTGATTCTGTTGCTGATCTCTGCATGTGCTGACCATGGTTCGTTATTTTTATAGCTCTCGGATTCTACGGCAACTCAGTTTTATTACGGTTGTATCGGCATTTTTGGCATCGTGCAGATGTTTGTGCTGGGACCACGCTTGATCCTTGGTGTCCGAGAATATCACGCTAAGCTCGTTGCGGACTCTGATGCAGCAACCGACATGGCTTCAATTGCTTTCGAGGAGCGCGTGCATGTGACAACTAGCAGTAGTGTGTAATGACATGGGAGAAGCTCGATGTAGCAACTGTGGTAGGGTACTTTGGGGGGGAGTGACATGATTTCTTTGTTCCGAGTTTTATCACCGTACTTATTTATCTAACTTCTTCGCTGTTCCAAAGTATGTTTGACCGAGAATTCGGTCCGTACAATACAGCCAATATCTTGTTTCATTATTCTTGTAGTAGAACATCTTATAACCTTACTTGAAGACGTTGCATCTTTATAAGTGTAAACGAGTTACATACAAGTACAGGGGATTAGGTTCGCAGGTTACCGCTGTTGAATAGTGAGAGCTAAGATAGCGCGAGCCTCAGTCTATGGTAAGAGACTCTATATTCCCAATGTACGAACCTAAGATAGCGCGAGCCTACGGGTAAGCTAATAAGTATGTTATCGATAGGAAGAACAAGAGTGTACACACCTCAGTCTATGGTAAAGAGACTGAGGTGCGACGAGGGCTTCTGGCTGCCTTAAGTAAAGGGAGAGAAAATAAACGTAACTAGGTAAGTGACGTGCAATGACAAGGGGGAATATATACATTGACAGACGTGATATTGGAATGACACCGGGTCGGGTGCTCTGACGGATCACCTCTCAACAACCGCAGCAAAGTTTCAACTTGAAGGTTACACCCACCTGCGGCACATGGACAACCACGGAAGCGAAAACAAGCCACGACAACTACGTTCAATCGCACATCGTTACCATCAAATCTAAGGGCAGGGCGACCTCGGCAGGCACTGCAAGAGAGGCAAATTAATTCCCGCCCAGTGTAATTATTGCAAAACCGATAAAACACCAAAAGCGAGTGCAGAATTTAAATCCAAAAAAGAACATCTGCCCACCATCTGTAAGTATGCGGTAATAAGGCAAATCATGTGAACAAGGGTGACGTGAATGTGCACCACCTGACATGATAAACGGAATGATTTCAGCTCTGGGGTAATTTTTGGGTCAGTGACGGTGTAATACAATGACTATCTACCTCTGGATGACTTTTTATGAAGCTCAATCGTCACGAGAAGAACACATGGCAATTTGAATAGTTCCTGGACGGAGCACAAAAATGACAAGAATATCCATGAGTGGTTATGCATGGTGAAGCTATGGTCGACATTTTGAGTCCGAGGTCATGAATTACAACTATAAAGGACATTTGCTATAGAAAGTTAAAGTGTCAGTCTTGCTTGTGATCCTGAGGGACCAACTCACCACAAATTGGAAGTGCTCATTACACTTCTTCTGGCTCTCCCCTTCATATCTCACCAGTATTGGGCTTTCTGAAAGGAACCAGGAGATTGCAGCCCGAACATAGTGGTTGTCAGTCGGAAAGATCTATTGCATTTTGCATGAATACGCATCAGAAACCAGTCTGTCTTTGACTTAGCACTTCCATCGTGATCGCGAAGGCAGGATCGACGGGTCTCTCACTGCCAGCATCAAGCAAAATATTGAGGAATATCACACTGCGAAATTAGACAAGCAATCGTAAATCTTGATATTTGGAGGATACACACGCTGTTTTCTGCAAGGTTGTTCCGTCGAATACGACCAATACAGCGGTGCTACATGGAGGGTCAGATGCAGGAACTTTAACAAAGACGGAGACTCATTGGACTAGCATGAGCTCGGTAAATATACGAAGATATAACACATTGATAACATACATCACATGGCAACAGTCATGGAATAATGCATCGAAGAGCGAAGATACTGAAATTTGAATACCTGGTGAACTCTAGAGGTATGTAGAATTGTGCAACCGTGTAGGAGTTTGAAATCACTACTGGGTGAAATGAATCAAATGACAGTACTTAGATGTGAACCCCAAGCTACGTGCGACCGTGAGCACCACCACGGCTGTTATTTTGTGTATCATCCTGGCAGGAAAGTATGTCAACACGCTCCAAGTGCCATCGAGGAGGCATGCTCAATCACCCATGTGACCAACACGAATAATAGCAGAGAAACGTTTTGCACCAATGCACATCTGGGAGTGAATCGATGTCAGATGAGTCGTTTTCCTGCAGCACGGTAGCCTGTTGACTAGATGGATGTCAGGTATCGTCTACTTTCTTGCATTCTGGTAGTTTGGCAGCAGCAAGTCGCTGTAGGGCACATATCAGCAAAAGGGCGCTGAGAAGTATGAAAATTACGTTATAGTGAACTCCCGCCTTGTTGTGGCTTCGACGACTGGTGGCCCAGGACTGTGTCTTAGTGCGAGGAAGGAAAAATGCTGGCGTAGGAACTGCAAGACTCCGCTCGAGGGGGGAGGTAGAAACATATTTTGAACTGGATACACACTTAATTATGTATGAGTTTAATAAAATCGAGACTGACATGATCGAATTGAGGTGCAGCCTGCCCCGAGAGAAGACGGTAGGGACAATGTAGTACGAGTCGATTGTAAAAGAATTGAGATACACAACATACATCTAAAGGATTATGATATTGATCCTTCTGACCAGGACGGAATGCGTTTGTGCGAGAGAAGAAGCGAAGAAGTTTGCTGAAGCGAAGGAAAGAAGGCTGCTGCAGGTCTGTTGTAAGCGGAGGTCTTTGTGCCATAGGTATGGCGGATATCGGTGGTCTGCGGTGCCCAGCAGTAGGACGACGAGTTGCATGAGACTACAATGATAGCAATGGGTAAGTGGTGTCATGAGTAAAAGAATGAGATGCGCACACTTCGCAGATCATTGAGGGTTGACTTTTTGCATGCAGTACTGGTCTGTAAGGGGATGCGTACACCAGCCTTAGCAAGGATGTCGGGTGGAATGTCGCAGATGCGGATCTTGTAGTCGTGTCTGGAGGCTGCCGCGTAAGTTAGTTGGCGTGAGTTGAGTGAGAGAATAAGTCTAAGAATTCGATCAATGTCAAAGGAAGTGAGGAGCTGGCGGGACTCGAAAGCCTAGAGTTTGATGGTGTTGTCGCAGGAAGTGCTAGCACCATCAAATGAGAGTACTAAGCCGGTAGCAAGGCCAGCGTAGCCTTCGAATTCAAGAGAGGTACTTCTCCAGCATCGAAGCGTCGAACTAATAGATTGTATTGATGAAGGGAACCACTAAGCTGAAGGCAACTTTGTTGTTGTTTATCTAGAACACTGGATTCCTGCCAGACTCCAGCCTCACATCCAATTTCTGTGATCGGATATCCCAGACCTCAAGGCAATCCCTCTGCCAACGACCTCATTGCAAACTTCTTCGAATCCGTGGAGAATCGAACTGTGCCCACCATAACAACACCCCCAAACGGATCAAGCTACGAGTTTTCCCGTGTCCAAATTCCAGATTTGCGTTGTACAATCCATTGCCCCACTCGCCAGCAACTTGCTGTCCACGGATATATCAATGCAACTGAGTCGCTGTGAGTGTCCTTCAAATATTGTTTTCATAATCCCCGTCTCAACCTCACAGGTTTTCAGTACCCCGCTATTCAAATCTCCACCACTAGTGACAACCCACTGACCATCCCTTGATACTGCCACCGCATCTACCCGCTTCTCGCAAACACCCTGAGATTCTTCAATCTCCTTACCCGCCTGATCATTTACTGGCAATTTGGAAAATGGGATGTGGATTCAATCCATTTTTTGTGACTCTTCAAAGTTATTTATGGTGTCAGAATCGATTTTGTAGCGGGTGCCATAGTTGATGTGGAAGCCATGGTTGTATTGCTGTGAGCGGAACCGCGAAGTAGTCGAGTACGGGCAAGGTAATCCTTGGATGCATCAAAAGGATCACATTTACTTTCTCTCCGCTTCTCGGCTCACAGTCATGGCTAAAGTCATCGCCAAATATATTTTCCATTTCCCACATAATGATGGACGACAAAACATTCAAACTTTATTGTCGTTCGTTCACCAGTTTCGCTTTGGACGCCTGAACGTTTGCGAAAACCACATCTCTTCATCCCATCGTATCAAACTGTTCTGAGTACGCACGCTACATTACAGAGACACTGGATATTTTGGCGAGTCTTTGTTCGTCTTTGACCACGCCTCAACATTCACAACGTCACTTCCGATCTTCACGCTGTCTCAGATCAAGCGCTCATCCCATAGAACTCAATATCAGCATTGACATGATAATGGACAACTGCGAGTAAAAATGCAATATTTTGCAACCTGTTCCTAACCCGATACCCATCGACACCAACCAGAACTAATCACAGAAGGTTTCCGGTGTACAGTCGAGGATGAGATGGTAGGTTATATAGCCAAAGAAGCTCATCTAAGATGAGGATGGTCCAAGACATCAGTGTGGACGACAACAGTAGCATCAGCCAGTCCGGGCATCGAGGTCAGCAATGGGCCTTGGAAGTCGTCATTGGTATTTGGAGATGAGTGTAGATGGCGTGCGCATCACTGGTACTGATGAGTTGGGTTGCTACTATCGATGTCCCACTCAAATTCACCAGTGCGGAACGACGGCCTGAGGCGTGCATACTACCTCCTGGATACATTGTGTGTAAGCGTGATTTGGAATGTGTTCGAATGATCTGACGTGTCGTCGACTATATCAATGAAACAGATACACTTACCTTTAATCGTATTTCTGTTACAGGCTTGAATTATTGCAAGCAATATGGAGATGGAGTTTGATCCGAAATTAGCACTGGTATAGTGACGAATAAGAAGACGCCACTCTGCCGCATCCTGCTCTGCACTCGGCACGAGTTATGCGCAGGGAAACAATCGCGTCACTTTCACGGTGACACAAATCAAATTATACCATATTACCAATAAATCATCCTGCTACAACATCCATCTCTGTTATCTACCTCGTCACCGATCTTCACCTCCAAGCTTCTGCATTCATTATTCGCTCCTCGAGCAAATTCTTGAGAACGACTCACTGTTCAAGTTACCTAACATGACTCAGGTGGGTCTCACGATGTATGACTTTATGATCAACGTGTCACTATAGAATAAGGACGAGGCCGCACAGAGAATATCGGGTCCGAGGTCTATGGAAAGTGCGGCCGATTCGGAGTTGAAGTACCTTCCACAAGTACGTGACCAGTATTTGATATCCGATTTGTCTGGATCTGATATTATAGCTACTTTCATATTGATAGACTAGATTTCTTTTTTTTCGTCTTACCGCTTCTATTTACTCGTGGAGCTGGACAAACAAAAGGGTCACGCCTATTACGATACCTTGGTTGGATCAAAAAAATGTGCGACAGTCGGGAGCTAAGTTCAGGGAAGGAGACGTCGTCGTGATAGAAAACACCTAATCCTTTGCATACGCCTCGTTCGTTCTCTTAGTTTCTTCACCGCATACACTCCCAGCAGATCCTACATTGATTATTAAATATGTTGCTCAAGTGTCTGACCAGGCATGCTGGATCGCAGATAGCAACGCATGGGAGGTACGTCACATCTTCCCTCACACGTAACCGAAACTGTGACTTAATAATTCAATCTCACAGGTTGTACCCATCAATATGCAACGGGTTTGCATTTCTTCTTCGCATGCTAGTACCCCTGTGAACTAAATACACGTATCCATGCAGGCGCCCCGCTGTTCTTCAGTGGGATCATATTGTCAGTGGCTTTTACGGCTGGAAATGGTTTCTGAATGGCAGCTCTTTAGCAGTGCCCACACGATTAGGTCCACCCGAACACCAGCAGGTGTAACTTCTTGTCATTGAAGGTTCGGTGTGGTGATCAAATACGTCATGAACGGCACCGGAAGTACTTTGATCTTTTACGGAGTTCTGAGTTCAACGTTCCGCAACACTGATACTAGTCTCAATACTAGACGTTTTAGGAAGCATAGCTCTGGACTTCGTCACCATCACTTCCTAAAATGTCTGGATTTGCGCTCCACTTGAGTCACTATTTTTGCATATTCACGACCCCTAATAACTAATTTCATTCAATTGAAGGTCCCCTGATCAACTTTGCATTCCATGTGACAAACTCGCTTCGGTTAATCACGAACCGATTCCTGTCATAAAAGCAGTGGATGGTAGTATATCTAGTACAAACGCCCTAGCCATACATCTACCAAGTTCGCCCAGCACTCACACCCATTCTCAAACAGCATGACCATAGTCTCAAATGATCCAGATTGGTGGCCGTCCATCGAATCAGATCGTACTTTCAAGTATATCATAGGTTCGTGGAGAGCTGGATGACGACCATGATATCTCGATCTAACAGTAGCTGTGGTTTTGCAGTTGTTTCCTCTGTTGGGGTGATATATGATTGGGGTGAGCAAGATAATATTCCAGAACCGCTTGTGTCCTTATAGTCTCCATAGCACTGACTTTTGGACAAGAGGTAGGTTGACATTATTAAAGGAGCAGCCACCTCGCTCAGAATGATTCCTACAGATCGAACTGGTGTGGGTAAGCACAGTCTCAAGCCATAATCAAAATGTACTACGATACAATTGCAATTCATTTGAAACAGAGGCAACGCTGCTCTCTTATAACCCTCCTGTATCTGGGTGTATGTAATTTTGTGTGCTTAGTGGGTCGTGCTGACTTGACAATATCCTAGGTGCGCTACATTGGAATATTATATGCTGTGTATGTTTAGCGTGCTAAAAATTGGTGTTGTACTAATCAGCCATCTCTCGCAATCAGCGTCGAGATTCTGGGTATGTCTGCTCATCTACGCCGTGTTCCTGTCTTCTGACCGGCAGCGTACAGCCAATTTTCCAACAATATCGGGGTCAGATATAGTGAGTTCTCTGCACTAATGCCTACCATTCCCATTCAACCAACTGCGCTCCCATGTAGGGGTGAGATTCTTGACCAACTTCTCGGTTCAACATAATGACTGTCGCAGCTGTGAGTTTGTTCGAACTCGTGATTCTTTGTGGTTAATCATGAACTGCATTGGTCAGGTCTAATTGCGTCCGTTGCAACAATTTGGATGGATTTTGTTGTAAATGTTATACTGAGTAGTGAGTTATGCAGCTGCAATATCTCGGTGATATCTACCTGACTGAAACATTACACAAGTCATCATGATCGCTCGGTTACATGCCATGTATCAGCGATCCAGAAAGGTGCTGATAATTCTCATTACCATCTTCCTGGCTGTCTACATTGCCGTTGGACTGCTCACCGTGATAATAGGAAGGCATAGTTCAGGGGGTAAGCTTAATTGTGGACGAATGATACCAGGCTCATCGATGAATACCAGAGGCGCTCATACTTTCTGGCATCTATCAGTGCACTTTTGATATCGGAGGTGACCTACTTATGTTCACCATCGCTTGGATATCCGGCAGTACTATATGGGAGGTCATCGCACTATGTTTTGCAGTCTGGATTGCTGTAAAGCACTTCCGTGAATTGCGACGATATTCAGCAGGAGGCATTGTCGGGGACTGTTTTGTGGTGTTAATGAAAACTCACGTGGTTTATTTTTTGAGGTGAGCTCATAATGCCAATGTGGTTCTCTTTTTCACCTGAAGGTTCGCGTATACTAGCTCTGTTGTTGTGTCTTGCTTCCAGCTCGGTTATTCATCCCACAGGATCGTAGCAGTATGTCCCTTTGCTACCAACCTCTGCATGGACGCACGGTTCATCTTTTCGACTCGATAGGGCCCATATTCCCTTGAATATCAGCTTTATTATGCTGTTTCTCAACTTTTCTTGCTCGTGCGATGCTTTGTCCTAGGACCACGCCTGATCCTTGGCGTTCGAGAATATCACGCGACGCTCGTGGCCGACTCTAATACTGCAACCGGCATGGCTTCAATTGTTTTCCAGGAGCGCGTGCATGTGTCAACAAGCAGTAGCGTGTAGCATGAGACGTGCTCATTATGATTAACGGTTGTTGACTGCCCTGCAGAGAGTGGGAGATTTTACAAGCTTCGTTGTGGTACTTATTTTAATATTTAACTTGTTTGGTATGTCTGAAGTATGTTTGAGAACGATAGGTCTCGACAAACGGATACGCATCTTATTACTTGCACTAGCTGCCCGTGTGAGTAGGTTCGTAGGCTATGACTCAATTATTATCAATATCACACCCTGCAAAAGTAACCACAATCACGTCACCAAAGGAATGGGAAACTGTAGAACAAGTGAGTGTTGAATTTTAAAAATGAAAGGAGCTCACCATGCTTCCCAGGAGAATTTTCATTCGCATGTACAGTGTTTCGTAAAGTTGTCCCATTTAACGAGTTTTGGTCCAATGCCTTGTACCACCTCGAGGTCGATTTCCATGACTTGATCTGTCGAGGATGAGTTTTGTGGTGTCAGTTCCAGCTCATCATGGTTAAATAAGCACTGGTCAAGCGTGAACGCTAGAGCTTACAGGAAGTGCTGAACGAGTGTCACTCCAACAAAGCATCCCCAGATATGGGTTTTCTTACTGAGATTAGTCGGCACCATTACGTGGCTAATGTGGTGGAAGCCGCCGCTGTCGCCAAGGGTAGAGAGGGCTGTGTCGATCTGCCCGCGTGCACCGCTCTGCTGCGGGGGCGGCAGCTCGTGAGTCGCACTGTAATTCTACTCTTATACAATGTCTGGGTCTGATTCAGAATGGGCAGGTGCCAATGCAAGCCAGGAGAGTGCAAGTGCTGAGTACTGAGCGGGTGGAGCTCTTGCATGCTGCCTTGGTGTTTGATTGGAACGGTCGTACTATTACAGATGGCATTAAAGTTTGAATTTGGACGTTGTTAATAAGGATGTGTGAAGTTGTAGTAATGCTCGTGTAGCTGAGTGGCTTGGTTGTTTCAGGGGAGGCCTGCCGTGGGTGCCTCGAGTATTTGCTCTCCTCCCCTCCTCACCCATAACTCCCAGCAGATGGCCTATGGATCGCATGTGCACGACAGCTCTTGACTAGAATCTAGTACAACATCAACATTGAATCACATATAGCACCAACAATCATACCATAACACAAACAACTCATCTCGCCAGTACATCTGCCGGACATCCATCTCCGGAATCTACTTCACCATCGATCTTCACCAACTCATCTCCACACATACACCATTCTTGCCATCCTCAGTGCAGAGCACTGAGATTCACGAGCAAGATGCGTAGTAGGCTTTAATTGCACAGTGCACAGCGCAGAACTATCTGAGCTCCGATTTGTTGCCTCGGGGCTCGCAGTATGGGCCACAATTTGTATATGATATTCAGCCCACTGGTAGATGCCCACTGCGTCACCTACTAGGCTACGCGCCACGCTATGGTCGAACTTGCTGATAAGTTGGCTTCGAGTCCTTCCCGGGCCTGGATGTGACATTGCGTACCTGGCCCCGTCAGTAAACCTAGGACCTCTGTCAGGTTTCAACTTTATTATAAAGTTGGAACCTATCATTACATGTATGTATCCGCACCAAGTCGTGGTTGTATTTACATAAACAATTCATTTACGTGGCTTAAAACGCGCCATGCATGCTCTCGGCGGTCTCTCAATTTTTCGTTACATCCAATGTATAACTTCCCACTCATATCCAATACTCAAGACTCGTTTGTCAAGAGAGTGGACTACGAGATGCAACCCAAAGCAGGATTTCTGTCTCTTGCTGACGAACTGCGGTTTTACATCCTCAGCTTTCTTCCTTGCCGAGATATTCTTCGTTGCACATCCGTGAGTCACAATCCGTCATTGTTGTCTTAGGCAGAGTCTTATACTGACATCCTCTTGCACTGGAAGGTATGTAAGGCCCTTCACCAGACGTACATGTCCTCCTCCGAGCTTCAGTACATCGTTGAACTCAGTGGCCAACACTTGCTTCCTGTGCCCAACACGGGCAATCTCACTCCTGTTTCCCAGCGCCTACAACTCTTGAGGGACAGAGCGCATGCGTGGCTCAAGTTTGATATCCACTCTTTCAAGACGATTACCATGCCAGATATACCGTATGATCAGGGAACATTTTTCACTGATGGGCATTTCTACTTCTGGGACGATATTCGAAATTCGGCCACGATCATTCCAATGCTCTCAAAGCCCTCGCAACAAACCATTGAGCGCAACTGGTCTCCGGGAACGTTGTGTACAGTTCCCCACTCGGGCAAGCTCGAAGTGTTCATGGACCCGGTACAAAACCTGATTGCCGTGGTGTATATGGGTCATGACGAGCCTGAGACGCTCTATATTGACCTCAGAGCGCTGGATAGTGATCGTGATCACCCCCTAGCTGCTGGACGGACGCTTTTTCTGTCTGAGGTACCCAAATACAACGACAACGACGACATTAGAACAATAACAACGACACTCAAAGGTTGTGGGAGGTACATCGCGTTTCAGCATTTTTGTATGCTTTCAGTCGAAGATGAGGATAAAGGAAATTTCTGCGAGTATGTGTCGCAGCTACAGATTTGGGACTGGCAACACTCAACGACATCTAAAGTGAGTTGATCAGAAATCGTTGAAATGTTGAAAGACTTGATGGATAATTCTCCGTTTAGAGTGTCCTCAGTGACATAATATGTTACTCACTTATGAACCCAACCGATTTTTGTTTTCTCGAAGACAATAGGTTGCTGGTTGTCATCGGGAATTTGAGGCTCTATTCAATCGAAGATATGTCACGGGCGCCGCAATTACTGGCGTGCTTCCTGATGCCCCTCACACTGTCGAATGTGCAGTGCCTCTTTTCGATGGATGATCTTGAATGTAGCGCACAGCTGCAGATGCAAGCACGACAAACGGCGTACACCTCAGACCCTACAAATCAAATACTATGCCTTATCGCGTCTGGTCTAGTCTTCGTCATTTCCACGAGAGTCTTCTTCGACCTTGATGGATAGAAGTTGCAATACCAGTACCATGGAATCATTGGGGTCCTTCAAACACACGTGTTCTGGAGCACCCAGATCCACGTCGACGCAAAATTCACGTTCGCGGGAATCGACTTTTGCAGTCGTTTAAAGTCCATGCAGGTCCCAATACTCCCATCCAGTATAAATTACGTATGATGGACTTCAGCCCGCTAGCTGTGACGAACAGGAGGGGTCTAGGACGTGTGGTGAAAGAGCCGTCGACGATAGACGCTAAATTCACTGGCAGGTCTGGGGACAGCTTGACAACGTCATTGCCTTACGTTGAGGTCGTATCGGATAGACTATTCGATGCGTTGCAGAACATATGGGTTAATAGGGATGGAATCTATTTGCTCAACACAGTTGTGGAATACACTGTTGTAGGTTCCGAACGGCATCCTACAGGGATACCGAGGAGGCTTGAGGTCATTGACATATAGCGTAGAGTATGTTATTAGCTAGTTAATTTAGCTAGTTAGTTCTGATGACAAGTCGATGACCTTGTCAATACTTAGACTAGTATCAAGAATCAGGGCCTCCTTAACGGACTTTGATGGAGTCGTACCATGGAAGTGAGCTGAGTGATTGAAAATTCAACGTCGCAGATGCGTACTCTCGGCATAGCAACGAAGTTAGGGTTAGTGACAGTTCGAATTGATTTACAAGACACGAGTGATGAGGAACGAGACCAGACGAATCGTGTTACAAAATCGCGAGACGTTTGGGCTTCGGAGATCACGAGTACAGTCCTTCGGAACATGTTTTGGAGATGCCAGGAGACCACGGGTCTAAACGGACAATGGGAGATAGAGGCAGGTAGACAAAAACGCCGACAAACGGAGATGCGACGAAGAAAAAGAAAAGAAACACAGCTCACGAATCTTGGAAGCACAAGTCTTTTGAGGGGGCGCACGGACCAAACTTCTCCAGGAGAGGAGTGCGCGATGAATTAGCGATGAAGGATCGCAGGGGATACATCGATGGGCCTGTACTCGTTCTGAGTGGTCACAAATCAGTCTAGAGCCTTTACGGATTCAAGGAAGTGATTATGCACAACTTCCAGCAAACCTACTCTCAGTTGGATGGTAACTTCAGCTAAATATAGACGGAGATCTGATCATTGTTCCGAGTCGAGAAAGGACTCGGAGTCAAGACACTCGAGTTGTGCCAAATGAGCCATTTGAACAGTACTGTTCAGATGAACAATATTTCCACCAGCTTTCCTACGAAAAGCAGTCAACGACTTGATTCATTGACTGGAAGAACACTGACCCCAATGACCGAGGCGGACAGCAAGAAGGCACGCACGAGGCGACTAATGCTGAAGACGAGGACGCGAACATTAATATTGCGCGTTGCCAAATGTGTGCTTGCTAGAGGATGGCAGGACGGATGCGTACGGATGAGTAATCTGTATGCCAACAATGCTTCGTCTGGTCTATGTTTCAACCCTTGGCACTTTTCTGCCGTCATGTGGACAGAATGCCATTGGCCTTGTTAAGTGACATCGCCCCCATCACGCTGATTTTGGTAATAAAAACACTGCGTGGTGGTCTATCTAGTACGAACACGATGATCTTCATACGTCCATCAAGCTTGCCGCTCCCTCACATCAATCTTCAGATAATATGACACTACATCATGCTCACTCGGTTACACGCCATGTATCAGCAATCCAGGAGGATTCTGATTTTCTCATTGTCATTTTCCTGTCTGTCACGATCGCCTGTGGAGTGCTTAACGTAGTTTCAATGTGGGATGCTTCAGCGGGTAAGCACAATTACGACAAACTTAGGTGCATCATGCTCATCAAGGATTATTAGAGGAGGTCATTGTCTCCGGCAACTATCTGTGCACTGGTGGCTACGAGGGAACTGCGATACTTATGTATATGACTTGGATACTCGACACAGTATGGGAGGTCCTCGCATTATGTCTCGCAGTCTGGATTGCTGTAAGGCACTTTCGTGAACTGTGACAACAGTCGACAGGAAGGATCATCAGGGACTGTTTCACGGTGTTGATGAAAATTCACGTGCTTTACTCTTCCAGGTGAGCTCACGATGTCAATGCGGATCGCTTTTTTCTGATGGACTTTTGCACATGCTAGCTTTGTTGTTATGTCTTGCTTGCAGATTGGCGGTCTTTTGTCTCCAACGATAGCATTGGTATTCCAATCTGTCACTGACCTCTGCATTCAACCACGGTTCATCATTTCTACAGAACCAATTGTCCCTTGGAACTCAAATTTATTATGGTTGTCTTAGAATTTTGCAGGTCGTGCAAATGTTTGTGATGGGACCCCGCCTGATCCTCGGCCTTTGAGAATATCACGCTACGCTCGTGGATGACTCCGATGCAGCAACCTGCATGACTTCAATTGCTTTCCAGGAGCACGTGCATGTGTTCACTAGCAGCAGCGTGTAAATGGGATGTCGGTAAGATGAACACTAACACCAGTCGGGTACTCTGTGGGAGCAGTAGTTTTGTGTTTCGTTGCGATACTTAATCAAGTTATTTGGTGTTCCGAAGGAGATCTAAAAGATATATGTGGGCATCTATGTCGATACACTCCAGTAATTTCTTTAGGCACCAGTCGTACAGGGGACAGCATAAAACCAGCCCGATTGCCATACTTAGAGTTTGTCACCTGTGTCGCGGCTAGTACCATGTTGCATCGTGTTCTACCCTCGCCTGTGGTAGTGTCATGATTAGATCCCCAGGCTCTGTCTACAACTCACTACCAGTGGCGGGACCTGAGGGTCGTTTTGGAGGCGCGCGTGGATGACAGCTCTTTTTGTGCATGCTTACGTCCATTCCCTACATAGGATGATGGCTCTCCACCAACATACTCTTGAATTCACCGCCTGCGTCAATTGCTAGTCGCTCCTTGCATTTTTGAGTGTCAGTATCTGCAGCTGCCGTGGGTATCCGGCCCACGTGGGTTAAGGCTGCACGCCCGCCGATTCGAGCTTTACGTTCGCAAAAACCCTGCCTTGCTCGTGATATTGCTCTTTCACGGATGTTGCAAGTACGAGCCTCCGTCTACGACAGCACAATATTAATGATGAGATACGGAGACACGTTATGGGCGGTTTCCTGTGCTTGCTTACTATCCGTTTGATTTTTCGTACGTCTCTCCCGTCATGCCCCTCAGTTATTATTTACTACGAGATAATCTGTTGAATGGCTCTTCCTCAGTAGTGACCAATTCATATCCTCCTTGGCGTATCCAGGGTCTAACTCACTTCACCTCGATAATGAGTTCTCGATGTGTGGACCAGAACCTTTCTTCGGAGAACGTAGATCATGATCTCCGTGGCGATCCCCATGGGAAAAACCTCTTGTGCCAGTGGGTGGTGCCTTGCTATACGGGTAACATATTCTGATGCAACCGGAGCTGCAACTCTTGCGATCGCACTAAAGACAAGACTATGCTCAACGCTGCAGTTTGCGATAAGACATGATTGTCATTTCCCGTGTTGATTTATTTATCATCGTCCACGGGATGCTGCATTTTCCATATCAATATCTTTGTTAACGTCTACGGGACGTTGCACTGCCTGGATCCCATGTCTTCAATAAATAACCCATAGCTAAGCGAATTGTCGCCATCAACCAGTATGAGTGCTTTGCAAGGGTCTCAAGCTGACATGCTCTTGTGGTCAAAGGTGAGTACAACTTCTGTAATCGAATTAATCCTGGATCACCAACGTCACGTCCCAGTACTATTATGGTACGGCTTTTGTCTATTGAATCAGTTGCTTTCGTTGCTTAATATCCTGATAGTTGCATTAACATCGCTTTGGGTGAGTTATATAATTTATCATGACCGTGCAACGATTCATTGTATTTAAGACATATGACTGCATACTTTGTATGCCCTGACTCGGCAAGTGGAAATTTGCTTGAACGCACTATAGTATACTGAGCTGTAGTTGATGTAGGTCGCTTTTATTATCGATTCCAGGCGCGGGCTCAGCACGGTGCTTTATCTCGTCTGCAGCTATCTTCCATCTGTCTTCATGTTACTGAATATGTTTGGTGAGCATCGGATTTGCACCTCCATGTTATTCTCAGGGTGTATTGAACATGTTTATGTTCTGCAGTGACTTTTCTGCCACGTGGTTCATACACTGTATGGTCAAATGTCACAAACACGCGAATTCAACTCATACCCTCATCATAGCTTTGTCGCTCGATGTATATAATAAATATATGCGAGTTTAATGATTATTTACCTCGACGCATACTGACTCTGCGTCTAACACCTCATTAGGTGTGGGATTTCTGTCGATGTTTTCCGCCGAGTGTGAGTTTACCGACCGAACTGGCTATTGCTGATCCTGCATTCTAATATCTGCACAAATCCCTGATGGCTCAGGCATCTTCATACTCAGAACACTTGCAGTATGGGAGCGGGAGAGAAGGTTCATGGTGTTCAAAATCATCAACATCATCGTGAGACCAATACCGGGAGGCTGCAGCCGAGTTAATATGTCTGACTCATTTCCGCAGGCCTATTTAATACCAATCCTTGTTTGCTTTTTAGAATTTATCCCGTCAGTGGGTGAGTAGATCTCTCAGAACCTTGTCTACTCAACTCACAACATCCAATCTATTCATAAAGGAGAATGTTCGATCCCCGGGGGTGTCGGATATGTGGATACGAAGGCAAAGTCTTCAGTAATTGCCGTGTACTGCTTGCTAGCTGCTGGCGAGTTAGGTCAGTATTAGGAGCTGCTACTCGAACATGAACACAAACTAACCCCATGCCTTTGCATGTACTATACACTTCCAGAAATATTAGTGTTTGTGCTATATCGCGCCTTCGAGAGTCACAGTGGCTGGAAGATCGAAAATCGTCTTATGCGTGGTCTCATGCACCATAATCTATTGTACTTTAGCTGCAGCTTTGGTTCGTGCCCAAATAATTCTCGAATATATATTTACTTACTAAATGGCACAGCTTTCTCTCTTGGTATCATCCTTGCTACAGTCTTCCTTCCAGTAAGTCGCTGTGCACACTCAAAGCCGCCCCATTAACGCAAGACATAGTTTCCAGTGGTACACATAATTGGAGAGTGTGTCCAATCTCACTTGGAGGAAGCGATGGTTACTCATTCGGCAGCAGGACTCAGGTCGTTGCTCTATCTCTCTTGGTCACGCGAATGCACAGGGACTTCTGGAGATCGGATCGTGTTTATTGTAGCAACGATGGAGTGGATCTCTCTCTCTCAACATTCATGGCAGCAACTCTAGATGTCATGTGAGTGTAACCCCCTTTAAAGCGTTGTGCAGCTAACGTACAACGGAGGAAAGACACTATTAGACCTTGCCCTGACGTGCGGATTGGCGGACACTCGGGCATCATGTTACGAGTTTGAATATGTACTTACTCACTATGGACTACTTCGGTGTTTTGGAAGCACCCAATACATGATCACGTTGTTTAGTTATGCACTTCGTGCGTTCAACGTTGAAGTTTTCTTCGATACTCACAGACGCATCACAAATAAGCACACCTGTCGTGTCTAGCAGTGCCTACACACAAACTTGTGAAAAGTCATATCGTTCATCTTGCGCTCATAATGTGAATCTGAATACACATTCTTCACCGACTTTCAGCACATTCTAGTTTTGTCACTGGTTCTTGTTTCCAGCTCTATTATTTGTCTCGAATGATCTTAGGGGTATGCCGGTCTATCATTGGCCTTCGTATGTGAGGTTCGTCACCTCTATAAGGCCCACGTTCCCTGCAATCTCAGATTTATTATTATGGTTTTATTCAAATCTTCGAGGTCGTGCAGATGTTTGTGTAGGTACTCCTTATAATTCACGCTGGTGGGGTACTCTCCAAGGAGCAGGAATTGTTTCCACATGCTACTTATGTAAGTTATTGAGTATTCCGAAGTATATTTCAAAGAGTCGACTGACAGTGAAGTGTAGCACGAGAAATGCATGATATGGTTGTTACTTGTCGGGTACGAAGGAGGGAGCAGGAATATTTTGTCCAAGGTTTTATCGCGATACTCGTACTTGTATGTAGAATGAGTTTATCAAGCGACGTAGCTGGATTGACGAGTCGAGCTATGGTTCCCCCATTCTTCATCATACGATCACGGTAGAAACTTCCCGTAAGCTATCCTTTGAATCACTGATCGGCATTCGTTGGATAGGGATGTGGATTTGATGGACGGTATAACACATGATAAGAATAAAGGGAATTCGTATATGCTGCAGCGAGCGTCTTAGTAAAAATGATGGAGATAGATATACTGAAAGCACGACGTAGTCGACAATGATGATGATGATGATGATGGCGCTGACACGAGTCCAGGGGCTAGTAGTCTGTGCATGAAACAATCAAAATGATCATACGGAACGCGGCAAATAAAAACCAGACGTTAGATAAAATTCGTAACAAAAATGAACCCAGGGTCATGCAGATATCATGGACAAGTGTTGGAACGTGACCAACCAAATAATGGCGAACCAAGAACCGTCCGTCGCAATCAGTAAGTCGCCGCAGCAGGTCCATGTCGAGTCGGTAGCAGCTGTGTACTAGCATTCCATCCACACGAATATCATCTAAGATATCCAGCAGCCCTGTCCTATTCTCGTATTTGTCCTCACCCCCCACGTCCGCATTACCCCCAAGAAGCACTCATCGCGGCCCGTATCCATATGCAACTTGCGGGCCTGGCGATACCCTACCAGCACCGATGGCGGGACTTGCCGGTCGCCCATCAAGTGCATATCCCATGGCCGCCTGCGGACCTGGGGACGCGCGGCTTTGCACATCATATCCCATCTGTGGACCCGGACTCCTGGTCCGGGCCATCCGTGTCATCTGGATGGCCTCTGCATTATGGCCATCCGAGAAACCGTCACCAAACGTATTGGGCACGGGGCCACGATAGGGATCGTAGTAGCCTGGCTGGTCGTAGGTCCCGGGTTCGTCATGATAGGGTTGGTTGGGGTTGAGGTGTGGGAGGGGAGGGACGGCGTATGGGTCTGCCGAATTTGTATAGGTTTCAGGAAGCGAGTTGGCGGCTACGGAATGGGCGTATCCACCGGGACTGGATGCGCGTGCGAGGTTCACCTCGGATTCATTTTCCACACCGAAACCTGACCGGCCTGTAGATTTGGTTGGCAACGCGTGAACATCAGAGCCATGAGTGTTCAGCTCTGGCCACTTGATTGCTTCATCTGATGCGGATGTTAAATCGTAAGGTCATGATAAATTTACAAATCACAAATCAGAAAACGCACTGTCATCAAAGTCTGCGAAGCGTTTTCTGGTGAACTTCCAAACAAAGAATGAGATGATGCCAATGACTGCAACACCACCCGCTACAGAAAGACCAATAATGGAACCCGTGCCAAGGCCACTAGAGCTACTACTGCTAGAAGAAGATTGCGTGCTTGACGGGGTCGCGCTGGCCGTGGGTGTAATGACAATAGTGCTGGTAACCTCCTGTCCAGCAGAATTGGTTGTGACTTGTACCGATGTAGTCAACGGAAGTGGAGCCGTAGTCGGGGTAGTGGCAGTGGTCTGAGAAGGTGGTGTGGAAGTGGGCTGGGTGGTGGCGGTGGGAGATGGCGGTCGACGCTGGTGTAGTCGTCGTTTGGGTCGGAGAAGTGGTAGGAGGTGTTGAAGTAGTCAAGGGTGTTGATGTCGTTTGCGGTGTTGTAGTTGTAGGGGTTGTGGTGGGTGAAGTGGTTGTGGGGGTCGTAGTCGTGGGCCCCACGGGAGGTGCAGATATAGTTATTTGGCGCACATGAAGATTAGGCTTTCGATCTTCAAGTAGTTGATGTGCAGCTGATACCAAAAAACAAGACGCCACTACAAGAAGCAGCAGACATCGCGATGTCGAATTCTTCATCATGCGGGTTTAAGTTGACTGTCTAGACGCGAAGATTAATGAGTGGTCTCTATGGTATTTTTCAAGGATTAGCACGTCGTATGAGGTATCGTTGCCGCCGTTTGGGGGCGTGTGGTACGAGGAGGGAACTAACGACGACACAAAGTAAACGTGAATGAAAGGAAGGTCTGGTAAAAAGCAGAGCGGCGATAAATGACCGGTGGCAGTGTTCGCCGGCGTGACATCACCGTAACAGTGTCACATCTCATATCAACGGGCTCTGCAAGGTACATGATGGAGAAAACATTAAGCCTGTGCGATATGCTATAAGTAAGTCGTCGTCGTCGTCGTTATCGTTATCGTCATCATGGAGTGAGCGCCCATCTTCAGTCCAATGACCTCCTCCCCAACAGTTTCGCAATCTCTCTATGTTCTCTAAGCCAATCTGAAAACCCTCTTGTCTCCCTTCCCTGCATCTCCCGTATTTCAATGAGATAGTTAGCAAACACAATCAGGGTGCCATAGCGATATCTGCGTGTAGTGGGTGTGCGTCAAGTAGCTAAGCAGACAACACATGGAAACAACTCACAAGTAATTCACCGCAACGTTCATCAGCTTCCGTTGCTTCGCACTTCCCTTTTCCAGGGCCTCTACCTTGAGTTTGTAGCTATACCCCTCATCAACGCCAGAAAAAGGCACGAGACAGTCTTTTCACTTACTCGTATATTGACTTGCGAAGATTCTGCACGTCTTGCATAAGATCAATGGCACGGTCTGTCAGGCGCTTCGCGATTTTGCCGTGAGACAAAACGCCGACAAGTTGCAATATAGTCTTGTACTCTCCTATCACAACATATCGTCAGGCATGCAATACTCAGGCTTAACTGGCGATCATACCTTGCCGGTAAGCCTGTTCCTCTGAGGGACCATCAATGGAGTCATATTCAATGGAGTCGGAATCCTCCTGTCCGTCAATGTAGTTCTCTTCGCCCTGCCAATTCATCGTCGTTGATATCAAGCAGGCTGTAACCATCCCCGTGGTTGTACGACCACGGCCCATCTGACAATTGAATATGAAGTCGTCCGCCTCTGGATATCCGGACCGAACACGTTCCAGTAGCTGCGACAGAGCATCAGGTAACGGTGCTTGTTCGTCGGTCTGTAAACTCCCATGAGCGCTTGTTTCATATGAAACCCTAGTTCCTCACGATAGCAACTCGACCGTAATTGATCTGTCGTACAGAATCAGCAACGGCAGACCTAAGAATTCAAGAATGTCGCGCTGACCTTGAACCCTTCCTTAGCCATGAGATCGAAAGCATCTCTTGGGGTCATGATATCATCCTCGTCCACTGTCTCCCATATGGGTATGATAGAGAACACGCCAGGCCGCTCCTCGACCTCATCATGCAGAAGAATACGTCCATTACCCATTCTGACCTCGCGTATAACATCCTTCTTTAAACGTTCCTCCATAGCTTCCACCATGGCTGTTGTGACCCCAGTTGCTCTACGCGATATCAGCCTGCTGTACCACGTGGTTAATAAACACTCACTCTACGTTTTCAAGTGGTTTATCCACGATCCGCAGAACGTGCGGGCGGCCCGCAATATAGAGGACCGGTTCCTATGTCGCTTCAGCCATGATAAAGCGAACATCGACATTCCGAGTCTCACCTCTCGCAGGGATGTCCAGTATACCATGCTGTGACCTTGTGGATCAGCATCAACGCGTGCTAGCGCTCGCCGCAAACTATAGACATGACGCAGTGAGAGTTCGTTTCATTGACACATTACAAACCCACCCTTGAACTGTAGGCATTCCGCTGTAGAACAGTCAGCGAACGTCAAGTGTTATCCCTCAGAGAACAGACCTGCCACACAACATCTTCTCATCAGCAGGATCTATAGGAGAAGAAGCCCGGGAAGAAGCCAGCTTCAACGTCAGTGGCACGCGACGGAAATTAGGAGAGCCTTCGATCCTCCTATACGACAGAATTATTTCAGTTCACGCTCCATCAGAATAGTGAAAGGGCGCACTCAGGGAGCGACATCTTTTGTAGGTTGGAGAAGAAGTCGCTCTTGAGAATGGTAGACGCAGAGAGAATGCTACCAGATCGGTTTACTACCACCTGCCTGACTTCGTCGGGATGAGCTACACTCTCATTCAAATCCGCACGCTCGAGTGGCTTGAGGGCGTGCAAGCCTTCCGCAATGAGTTCCTTCTCGAACGTTTTGATGACTATGCCATACTGAGAAATGAAACACTTTAGTAAGGTACAAGAATGATCTCCTTACCTGGGCGATTCTCAATGAAACTCTTAAAAGTCTCAAATGACTGCATCGTATCTGGCTCAGTAGATCGCAGATACGCCTGAAACAAAATGAGCTCAAAGTAGCGTCGCAAATTGTGCATCCCTTGGCCTGTTCAGTACTGGGATAAAAAAAAAGGGAAAATGTTGTCTTTACCTTTTGAAGCATGGATGCGCTTTTGCTTCTCGTCAGTCGCTTTCTCAGCCAAAATACGCTCGTCTTCGATGGAGTCTCGAACATTCATGACGATCGCACATCGATCAATGACCTCGTCAACAGTGTTCTTAACTGCAGGACCTTTCCGGACGATTCGAAGGAGATCTGTCTCAATCTTAGTGGTATACCTCAACAGGAAAGGTTAATAACGTACTATTGATGACTTGATATGAATGGCGCTTATTTCCAGGCTCATCCTGAAACATATCAGAAGTCATTGACATTGACAACGAGTGAGACTCCGTTCGAGGCGACCACTGAGAAAGCGCTCGGCTGTCATTCAGCCATTGTTGAATGAGGACAATCAACTACCTGCGTTGCAAGAACATCAATGATAATAGTCTTTCGCTTCCACCTGTACTCACGGAAGTTAGAGTGCTCCTTCCTCGCCCAAGTTGGCAATTGACGACCGTAACCGTGCGGGAAGAGTCTGTGCGAAGAACAAGGTCCATGAGCTCACTGATGTCTGCGAAATCAGGAGGACGCTCTGATGTGATCGGGATCCGAACATATTGAAGATCCAAGCCATGCCTAGATTTACGGGATGCCATAATGTCCTTGAGCACTGCGATGTTCGAGGACTGTACTTCTTCCCATATAGGAATCACAGATCCATCTGACGTCTCTGTGTGAAGAAGTAACCTTGATTGTATTTCGGGGTATATGAATTTTTTTTGGAACTGCGAGTAAACAAAAACCCACCTTCCCCCAAATGCTTCGAGCTCTGCAAGGACATCATCTTTCAGACGCTCTTCTAAGACTTCCAGTCGCGATGCAGAAATTCCTCCATAATCTGAAACAGTCCAGTGCTTCAGGAACATTATTGACAAACCTAAAACCTGAGTACGCAAACCTTTCATGTTCCGAAGGGAGAAGCGCTCACGCCTTAAACAGTAAGGCGCGCCGTTGACATATACAATGGGCTCTTCTCTCAATGTCACCCACACAACTTTGTTGGCATCAGGGTGCGCCTCTTTCACACGATGCACCACCTCATCGACTGCGGATTCAGTTGGTTGGCCGCTCGCATATATGTTAGTCCCTGGTATGTTACGGAAGTTGATAGCCCCGCGGACTGAGTCGGACACACGATGAGATTCTGAAAGCCACTGGTCCGACTTGAGAAGTGTGCTATTTGATAGATAGAAGTTAAACACGTTGCAAACGCACGATGATGACGTACCTCTCTCGCAAAATAATTCCACTCCGATTCTGCGGCAATTCATGAGGCCGAGTAGTTTGTGTTATTCAAAGAACGAACCTTAACAACGTGGTCGCTATACTCATCGCCGAGCAGCTGACCTCCGGCGATCTCCACATCATTCTTCTGTCCAGCCACCAGAGATTTATCTTCTGTTCCTGATCTCGACAGGAGAGAAAGATCGTTGACAGGCGCAAAAATATTGAGTCTCGAACCGTATGTCTTGCGTAGAAATTTGATTTGACTATAAACATGTAGGTCACCATTCAATGTTTTCCGAGTCACTGATATGCTGGGACCAGCTTACTTCCAAATTTCTGTTCTCGCCTAACAATTAAGACGTTAATGCGGCGATTGGGGGATATCTCATCAATTATAGAGAATAACGTACCTTTAACCAATCCAAAAAAGTCATCTCAAAGTCGTCAACAGAATCAACATAACTCGCGAAAGTGATCATGAAGAAACTAGTGGGTATCTAGGTAACAGTTATCAAACAGTATAGTCACAAACCACGTACTATTTCTCCAGCGCACTCCGAGCCTTAGATAAAAGATCTTCTCGTTTGCTTTCGTCATTATCGGCCGTTGTGAGTGAATATTTGACCCTGTATGTGAAGACGTCTTCCCGGAGATTAGTGACATGATCACCTAAGGAATCAAGACATGGTTAGCGGCCCCAATACATAACAATGTTATTTTAAGGCACGAGATATAAGACACTGGAATGAAGCACGACGGTGCACCTACATGCATCGATTACACGGTCGACCAGTCTTTTAGCCTGTAAGCCGTGATCTAAACACCCGAGTAGACTCAGTATCACTCCATAATTGCCTTGGTGCGCTTTGCGTAAGTTCTCCAAGAGTGTGGGTTGCGCCATGAGCAAGGCAATCACAGACTGCGAATGGAGATCTGCGAGAGATAAGGTGATTTCCGAGATAAGGCCGCGGTGATACGTACGTCGCTGTAATACATAGGTCAATCTTAGAAGTGACTTGTTTTGGTCCTGTTGTGCACTGGCATTTTCCAGCGCTTGAGCTAGTTTGATATCAGTGGCTGCCTTAGGAAATACCAAGTTCATCAGCACTCGGGCGTAATTGAATGACGTACGGGCGCCATACCTGATTTGTAGGCTGACAGAAATATGTCAAGGGATTTGTACGAAAAAAAAGATTGTGAACTCACCGTACTGAAGCCGGGACTGCCGTTGCCCATCTTATAGGATCCGTTACCCAAATTGCTCAAGAAGGATGACCTACTCGGGTATGGATCTTCTAAACCCTAGCAAGCAGCATCTTCCTCCTAACGATTACAGCGGCGACCATGGCGAATGTAGTTCGAACAGCACCCATACCGCAAGAAAATACAAGAGCACTTCGTACCGGATCTGTGTTTTTGATAACACGTAGGTACGCATCTAGGTAGTTGTCCTGGGTGGTGTAAGCGGTGAACCATAGTTAGAAATACGACGTGCTCACTTCAATGGGACGGTCGGGGGATATAGGGATACTGAAGCAATAGATCAACAATGTGACCCGAGCGCCAGGACGCATAATCAACATACCGGTGATACTACGAGGAAGAGAGTACAGGGTGAAACTTGAAACCAGGAGAACAGATGAAAAGCCGACGAAAGCATACCTCTACATCCCATCCATCTGCACGCATTTCGTCCCAGAGTTCTCGCGATGTTCTTACGTTGACCTTGTCAACATGAGTCCAGGTAGGCAAAACGGCGCCGTCCCCGCTCTCGGCAGCTGTAATAGTTGACGTTCAACATCCGATGGAAGGAAAATATTGTATTGCTCACGCAATTCATTGTGAGTTAATATTAGGCCGCCATACCTGGTCAAACAGAATCAGTGCTGTCACCAACAAGCGGTATTGGATGTGTATCACTTTGCTGATTCCTGTAAAATGTCGTTTTTCAAACGTTCTTCAATGGCTTCTAGATTTTCAGCGCGATCGGATAATGATAGGGTTCTTCTTGGTTCAGCGGAATCGCGCAAGACGAAGGGTCGTCCTGATATATACACTAAAGGAGAGACAGGAGAGACAGGAACAAATCCATTACCCATAATCATGAATAAGACACGCAAAAATTAATGCATTAAGGTGGGTCATGATGATGATTTAAAGATTGCGAGGAAAACTTACCAATCGGTTCCTCCCGCGTAGAAAACCAAACGACATGAGACGGACTGGTAGTACCAGGACGACAGCGCAAGATGGAGAGAATCGCTCGTAGGCCCTGTGTGCGAGGTTGAGCAACTCCGAAAACGTTTGTGTTGCGTGATGCCCTGAAGTTGGGAGCACCATGGACGTTCAGGTCGAGATCAAGGGCTCGGCCTATTAAACTCGTTGTGAACTGACTTCACAGTAACCAATAATAATCAAGCGAACCAGACGGGTAATAATCGGTTTTCAAGATGAAGCCTCTGGACAACACGCTTCCCGTCCTCGTTTTGACAACAGATGGTTCTGCTCGCTTCAGATTGCCCATGAGATCAAGGGGTGCGACAGCTTGTTTTCCTGTCATCGATATTGTTGATTCGCTCGCGACGCGAGATGTTCTGAGAGCTTTAACATTTCTAGATGCCAATTGGAGAGCCGACCGATCCACCAAAGGCACTGATGCTGGACGTTCGGTCGCATCGTCTAGTGATGTCGTTGGAAGCTGGTTGACGTGCATAGCGCTTACTTCGAATGATACGGAGCGGAGAGCTTGGTTATCTATCATACGATGAGACCAGAGGTTACTAGTACCTGGCTGAAATGCCTCGAATCGAAGGTCCACAATGCGTCACACGACTCGCATGAGGACAAGCTAGAGCAAGTCGTGTCCATTACATCCCACGTGATGCGTGAGAATCCTCATCAATGTTACTGCTAGTGGTTGTCTACCAAGTGAGGCAGACTAGCTAGTGGCGGCTCGCTGGGCCATTTCCGCGCAAAGCTCGGCCGACACTTACCAAGTTTCCCTATTTCTTTTCATTTGCCTTTCGACAACTTCGCGATAATGCGAGGCTCCAGCACTACCTAATGGATACTCGGGTAGCGTTCAGCTGCGGCGGCTAACTAGTAAGATGAGTCTGAAATAATTCCTGCAGGTCTCATTACCGGATTCATATCAGTTCATTTTCATTCGACCTCATATTATCGCTCGGCGTGGACCGAATGTGTCGTCTTCCTATGACAATCATACTATCAGTTACCGCTCCTTCGGCCAGATCAATGAGTAGTAGCCGAGAATATGACGGGCTTGTTCACTGTCAAGTTTCCGAGTCTGCACCGCCCTTTCGCCACATATCTATTTTGCCATAATTTCGGGTTTCATCTGCTATTTGTGTTCAAGTTAGACATCGTAAGTGGTAGTTCGTCCCTTTGATGAAGTGTCAAGCCAAGGCTCAGGCTGACAGCAGAACCACTGCAGGGACTCGCAGGGATGTCTCGTGGGAGACGAGTGTCATTGTCGCTGACGTGTCTGTTTTAATCCAAGTATGTATAATCGTATCCATTGCATGTTGTGCCCACAGGAAATACACAGATCGGGAAAGCTCTTTGTGAGACTTGACCTAACCTTTCCTTCATCCATTCTTACGAGTGAAACCCGTCATAATAGGATCTGGACACTTGATTGCCTGTCCCAGGGGGCATGGCATTAACATGAGTGTGGCGGCAATTTTCTTTCTAGACTCAGATAGGATGCTTCGAAGATATTAAAGCTGCTTGTGAAGCGCGAATATTTATCATTACTCGAAATGTTCCCCTCTCCCATGATCTTGTTTTCTGCCATCATATGCCTCTTTCTAACCGTTCACCGAGTTCGACGAAAAAATTCATCCAATCTCTCCTTGCCCCCTGGCCCCAAGGGCTTGCCGGTGCTAGGCAACCTGCTCGACCTCAACGGCAGTCAGCCATGGGTTAGCTTCACTCAGTGGGCATCGACATACGGTAGAGTCCATCAATTTTCTGAGAAACAACCCTCCTTACTTTTTCAAGGGAACGTCATCTACTGTAAGCTGTTCGGACGGCAAATCGTTGTTCTACAAGTCGCAGGAAGTCGCCAAAGCACTGTTGGAGCATCGTTCTAGTATTTATTCTGACAGGCCACCACTCTCTACTACAAAGGCGTAAGAGAACCAACATCAAACATGCTTTATATACATCTGACAATCACATAGAATCGGATCTGAGTTCAACAGTGCGCAGTTAAGGTATTCGGATGAATGGAGATTGCATCGGCGAATTTTCCATCAATCATTCCGACCTGAGGCGGCAAAAGATTACTTACCTATCCAACTTCGCAAAGCTCGCCAGCTGTTGCAGGGCATCATAGAAGCCCCCGAGCGCTACCAGCGTCACATCGAACTGTAAGTGATAGTTTATTCTTCGGCAAGCTTCATGATAAACGTGGTAACCCCAGCTTCGCCTCTTCCGTCATCATGTCTGCTGTATACGATTACGAGGCCAAGCTGAATAATGACCCGCTTTTACTTACCGCTGAAAAGGCGATCAAGGTCTTTTTAGAGATGGCAAGCCCTCAGACTTCAGCCATCCTGGAAACATTTCCGTTTCGTAAGTTTTTATCAGTCTGCGTCTCCAGAAAGTTATCTCTGACTTAACATAGTGCTGAAACTGCCATCCTGGTTTCCCGGAGCGAGTCTTAAAAGACTCGCTATCCAATCACAAATAAATGCTACCGCCATGGTCAACATCCCGTTCAACTATGCACGAGAACGCGTAGTAAGTATTTATGCCCCGAATAAGAATGAACCCTATCAACATGAGGCGTAGATGACCGCAACTTCGAATCAGTGTATGATCTCGGAATCTTTAAAGCGGTTAGACACATCCGGTAATGTGGACGAATTTGAGCTTGCGCTGAAGTCGTCTTCTGCTACGGCATTCATTGGTATGACTATGACCCAGTTTATTTTCGAGTGACACTACTAACACATGCTCGTATCTAGCTGGAGTTGAAACGGTCGGTCCCGCTTATCTACATTAACGTGTTTCCCACGAACTGACGGACATCCAGACTGCGTCGACGCTAACTGTCTTTGTCCTTGCAATGATGCTCTATCCAGATGTACAGAAACGTGCACAAGAGGAGATTGAGGCAGTTATAGGTACCGACCAACTTCCTACCTTTGAAGACCGACCTTCGTTGCCGTACGTGGAAGCCGTCTTGCGCGAGACGCTTAGATGGCATCCAGTGTTCCCTCTCGGTGGGTTGATCTCATCCATCGTGTGTCAGGATCTTACATTTCCATGTGGTAAATCAGGTTTGCCGCATTACACTGCGGAAAGTGACGTGTACAATGATCATTACATCCCCAAAGGTCTGGCATTCTCTATACCACATCACTTTTGTTGCTAACCATCACGTAGGCGCAATTGTTATGGCTAATATCTGGTACGTCATGGTACTCGCTAGTCTTGAGTTGCGTTAAGGCGACTGCCACAGGGCCATGTCCAAAGACGAAGTAAAATACCCGAAGCCTGATGACTTCAAACCAGAGAGGTTTTTTATGGCTAATGGACAACTAAACGACGACACTGTCGATTTTCCTTTCGGCTTCGGACGCCGAGTATGTGTTGGAAAGTACTTCGCTGATGCTTCCCTGTGGATTTCTATAGTGTCTCTATTAGCAACTTTCCGCTTTATGAGACCATTGGACAACGAAGGCAAAGAAGTAGACCCTATCTTCCAATGGTCCACTGGACTAATTTCGTAAGTATCTTGTTCCAACATCCAAGGGAGTACCGTGAGCTAACCGACGAGATAAACTTCAGACACCCCAAGTCTCTTCCTTGCCGTGTCGTTCCCCGACACCCGGAAATGACTGCACGCATGCTTGCAGATGTAATCGAACTCAGCGCATGAAGCGAGCTCGGTCAGCTGTACATCTGTATCTAAACGGAGGATAACACAAATTTTGTATATGTTATGCGTAATAACCTCAAGTTGAATTTGAATTTGAATCTGATTCTGCATACCGACAAGTCGTACTTAATTACGGACTGCATTCGGGTGGTATCGGGATATGGGAGAAACAAGCGAATATGAATCAATATGCCCTTGCCATGCGATGGGCACGCTGCTCAGGTCGGCTTCTCGACCACGCTCACAAGGCAGTGCATATTACTAATTACACTAGCCTTTAGGAGATAAAGAACGAGCTTACTAATAATCTGCTGTTGTTGATCGTTGTTGAACCTAACCATCTTTTTCGCTACTTTCAACTTCCAAATGATCCTTCGCCATCGTGTCTTGCACAAGCAACGAAATGTACAACGATCAGGTTGATTCGCGGCCTTGAGCGGATACATTTAGTAAGATGTTTGCGAGTTCAACCTCTTGTCAGAATGTATATTCCGGCTGGATGTGATACTCACTAGCATCTTACGATGATCGATCATAGAGTATCTAAGTCGAATTTATCATCAAGTTCCCTGGTCAAGATGAAGCTCGTGATGACTTGCCAATCATTCGGCACGGACTCGAGGATCCTTTTCACGTATGGTAATTAGACGGTGACTCGATGATATGTTGTCGGATAATAGGTAGTCGTCAACAAAACACGAGGGCTTGGCGGCAACAAATGGACAAGCCTCGAGGACGGCATACAATCCATTTTCAGTTTGCTCACGTACGCTCTACATACGTTGAAGGTAACTCAAGATGGGCTTGCTTGCGAAAATTTTGGAATAAGTAGTCCAAGAACATATGGAGTTTCCTGTCACAACCGAGTTCTTCCCACCAATCAGAGGACTCGGACGTCGACGTAAAAGTGATTCCGCTCAGAGCCTAGCCTCGTATGTGCCGCCTAGCAGCAATGCAACTTAGGATTTCCAAGCGACTCTGAACGTCATTCACATTGCATACACCTATAATATGCCGAGACGCTGATAAGCTAGCGCTGGCAGTCTAAGCGCCACCAAATCTGCCGCTCTGCATTTATCCATTGGGATAGCTAGCGAGTATGATGTCTATAAAGACTTGGTGCGGTAGAATTCTCCTCCCAGTACTCACCATCCTACGCTATGAAGGAGCCGCTCGTTTTCGCTTATTATTGCTCTGGGCATGGTACGCATTCAATGTTGTCTAGCAATGAAGATTCTCACTTTTTCCTATAGGCTACGGCCATGCGACACGGGTCTCCGCGTTCGCTCGTCACCTCCTTAACTTCGACTCTCGGATGACGATACATATTATCTCGTCTGCTCCAAAGCATGTTTTCAACGACAGCATTAGTCTCGGCGTCCTCTATCGTTTTGCCGAAATCGACCCAGTCATTGTACAGCCCGTGGCGTGAGTGGTACCGACTTTACAATTATCTCATTCATTAATTGCCAGACCATTAGATATCGGGTCGATCGTCACAGGAGTGTTGAAGCTCTGAGGTCCTTTTTAGCACGCAAGGAAACTCTTCTGGAGCAAGAACGACAGTGGCTCTTCGACATACAGGCCGACTGTGTTCTTAGCGATGCTGCATTCCTTGGATGGTGAACTCAAAATCCATCGTGGTAGACCCTTGTGCTCATCAATTATTCAGTCTTGCCGCAAATGTCACGGGGTTGCCTTCCATCCTCATCTCAAATTTTACATTCGACTCTGTATACAGCTTCCTTTCAACAAAGTTCGTAGACCAAGTCGATGCACCTCTAGGAGATGAACTTTCGATTGATAACCACACTCCGGACTATCCAATCTCAGCCGAAGAGCTTAAGCCCTTGGTTCAACAAATATATTATGGTTACCGCTGCGCGGACCTTCTTGTTCGACTTCCTGGATGTATACCTATTCCATCGTTCTCGACCTCCCCGTCGTTACCGGCGCCGCACTGGACTAACCAAGGCAGCAACACACTCCTAGATGAGATTGTAGCTCATCTTGTTCAGAAACCCACTACACACGTACTCCATTCCTCGATACCTTTCGTCAACTCGCACCCTAAGAAACCGTTTGCGCGTAGCATCATCCAAGCTCCCCTTCTCGTTCGTGGTATTAGCAAGGGACTAGACACAGTTCACTCCCCCATTGGTCGATCCCGATTTCTTTCGTCGCTTGGTGTCCCTGAGCACCTGCATAATCCGGATGAGACGAAGATTCTAATCGTTTCATTTGGTGGACAGGTCTTCCAGAAGCCGACTTCTAGTCGCGGGAGCAGCACGGGTCACTCAAGTCCAAGATGTAAAACACCTCAAATTGATTCTCCTGCGGAGCTACGGCAGATCACTGATAGCCCGCGCCCGTCAAAGATCCCTCCTTGCAACGACGCCCTCAGCAAAATGGACACGCCATACTGCTGTTACAGCACCCCTCCTGTCATCAAGCCCGAGCCAAGCCCTACGTTATGCGCGATGTTGACCAAAACAGAGTCTTGTTTCAAAAATAACATCACCCGTTCATATTTCGATACTCTCATTCCCTCCGCTTCGGACATAATGCTCGACCATGTTGTAGATGACTTTGATACACGGTTGTTACCAGACTCGTCTTGGATCGCAATTGTATGTGGAGTATCAAAATGGGGGGCAGACGAAAAACCTCCGGACAGGTTTTTTGTCGCTCCGAAATACGTCTACATGCCCGATCTGACAGCTGTCGCAGACGTTTTGCTCGGAAAACTAGTACGTTGTGTCATCTTGATGGTTTCCCTGACTGACGGCCTTTCCAAAGGGATATGGGACAGTTTCGGAATGCGTCGATTCTTGCACGCCTTTCGTTTACGTTGCACGTCCACTTTTTGTGGAAGAGCATGGCTTGAAGCTGCTGCTCGCACGGGAAGGAGTTGGAATGGAACTCTCTCGAGTGGATTATGAAGCTGGCGACTGGGCTTCTGCTGTAGAGGAAGCATGGTCGCTGGGCCGCAATGCGAAAGCGGAAATGCGTAGGAAAGGTAGGTTAGGTGTTGATATGAATAAACGAGACGAAGAGGGTACGTTACTTGCGGGGCAAGTGACGGATTGGGTTAGGGCCTGGCACGATTCGATAGCACAGAGGAAGGTGTCTGAGATCTGATGTCTGTCACGATGGATTGTTGTCTATATTATTACATACTATACGTTAGTACGTACCGCATGCTCGGGGCTGGGCGCTGAGTTTGCATAATAATATTAATGGTCTCATGTGCACGAAATGCTGTGCACGTATCTAAGACATCATGCACAGCAAGTTGGAGCTACGATGAGCACGGAACTACGTGATCCTGCTTTTGAATTCCGATTGACTGGGCGGCCGGTGGATTGTCTCCAACTAGAACGCCTTCAGAAGGTCATGTTCGGGTGCCTGCTGCAATCTCATTAACCAAGAAAGCCTAATACATAGCAGCTGCATCTGTAAAACACCCCAGTTCTCGCTTAGTAGTGTAAGAAGTTTGATCTGTTACTAATGCTTACGGTTCAGTGATGGAGCCCTCCGATTGGTGGAGATCGTGTAGTAATGATGTAAAACCTTTAGATATTCGGATAGTGTATAAATTGATAGATTGTCCGGACAAGATAAAGATCAAAAGATGATCAGGCTGATCATCGCATTATCATGATTCAAGATTAGCTAGTAGTACACCGTCGTCATCATTTCTATACTACATAGTGTACTAGTTCACAGCCCTAACCTCTCCTTTCTGCATACACTCATCTTCGTCTTAAGTGCCTTGAAATGTGCCGTGAGCTCGGGGTAAGGGTCAATTTTGTCGTGAATGTGCGTGAGGATGTTGTGATAAATGTCCTTCGACTTTGCTGTAGAAAAATCAACACGTTTGAACACGCCAGTCTCGTACTCCTTGATTGCTGACCAAATTGCTGTGCCACCAAGAGCGATAACACTGTTGAGAGCTTCAGGATCTTCGAAGTCAATGTCTTCATAAAAGCCCTTGGTCCATAAGACCTCCATCACGACTGAAACGAGCGCCTCGTGCTCGAGCACAATGATGGATTGTAAATTACCGTCGAGTATCTAGTAGTTAATTGTTAGTATACAATAGCACATGGCGTGAATAAAAAATGACCTACCAGTTGTTCTGTTTTGAACAAACATTGGAGGTTCGAGAGGAGCATAGGCACCACTTGTAGCTTGTGTGTGATTTCTGATGATGGGTCATGAATATCAAGCTCGAGATTGTATTTGTGTTGCACGACAACACATGCAACATGTTTGAATGAAGAGCAGATGGTGTTAGTGATTTTCATGAGTGAACTGATGAACGTCTCCTCCCCGGGGAGATAGTAATTGCCTGGTGGGGAAAGATCTGCATGGCTTGCGATATTGCATCGCATGCCATTTGAATGTTCTCGTCATTGGAGGGCATCCCGTTTAACGTTAGCACCACGCATCGCATTCTTGACCTTGTGCTGGTTTTGATCTCCTCCATGTGATTCGCAGGTACGGGAACAGGGTGTTGTTGCTGATGGGGGACAGGGACAGGGACAGCATCTGAAGGAGATTGCGTGGGGGAGGCTGGCACTGTTGAACCAGTGGCAGTGGTATTCAGAGGAGGCAAAGGTCGTGAAGGCAGGTCTTTTGCCATGGGGTGTTTCGGAGCAACATCCTTGCTGCTTCCAGCCTGGTTGTCTAGGGTAAGGTTGGTGACAAGGTGAGATGCATTTGAACTTACATGGACTACCCCCATGTTTTGCCACTGGCCACAGTAATGCTTGTCTTTATGACGGGGGCCAAAGACTGTGACTTTGTGCAATCCTGGGAGGGCGTATGGTGCAGGACGGATAGGTCATGCCTGCGGGTCCTGCAGGTGCCTGCTGAGGCGCTCTGCACCACGCACGGTGGGAGGAAGTGGTGTGTCGATGTTGACGAAGGGTATACCCTGCCCAGTGTGCTGCTGCTGCTGTGGGTGCGGGTGGTGCGGGTGTGGGTACTGCTGGTGCAGGTGTGGGTGCTGCGGATGTGGGTACTGCTGATGCTGCTGATGCAGGTGTGGGTGCTGCTGCAGTGGCAGCG